TAAGAGATTAAAGCATTCCTAAAATTTTCTCCTTCACTTCTTATTTTAACTTTGATCCACATATTCAGTATAATTCAACTGAGAGTTCTCATATTTCAGAAGATTATCATTTGTGGTCCTCCCCAAGTTTAGCAATACTGGTTGGGCTTCTCTTGTCCACCATATGCAGGACCAGAAGTATTTCAGATTTTAGAGTTTTTTGGGTTTGAAATGTTCACATAGACCTTTCCAACTGAACATTGTTAATCTAAAAACCCAAATCCTCCAATATTAAAATAAAGTTTCAGATTTCAGATTTTCTGATTAGGGATGCTTAATCTATATGTTTTATTTAATTCTACATATTTTATATTTTTGTTATATATCATGTAATATCTTTAGCCAATCTAAAGGGGACAAATACCATGACTACATAGTCTACCTCTTATTTCTTTGGTATTTATTAAATAAAACCCTCAGGATTCATTTATTAACTGAACCTTTAAAACTATCAACTAAATTTCGTGTCCCTAAGATTGATTTTTTGTTTTGGTTTTTGCTTGTACATTTACCTGTATATTCAGCCTTAAAGTTCTTGTGGGTTTTTCATAGACAAAGATATATGCAATTGCATAATTAAGTCAGGATGCTGATTTGCAGCATTTGTCATGAACCAAATTTTAGCAGTAGTGTTTATATAAAACCATGGTCTTGGAGGGTATATGTGGGGTTCTGGGTATTTTCTTATAATTGTATTTTAGGGAAAACCCTTCTAGTGTAGTAAGAAACTATTACTGTTGTGATTAGTATCATCATTAGCTTTACACAATGCCAGTTTAGAAAATATATTGTTGTTCTTACTCAAAAGATAATTTTGAGAGACATTTTTACTTGTTTTTAGTATAATATTTACTTTGAGATATTCATACTCTTTTCATGATTTTATTCTAAGACACTAGAACATAGGGCCAGAAGATAAAGGTTTCTTTATTAAAATTTTGGCACTTTTTACTGTGTAGTAGAATTCCCTGCACAATGATACATACAAAGATTGATCAGATGTAGAAGTAAACCTCCAAATGCGTATTTTATTATTAGAAAAAAAATTATATAGTAATAAACTGTTTTAGTCAGATTTTGTTGTTCCTGTGACCAAATACCCAATAAGAACAGTTTTAAGAGGGAAAAGTTTATTTTGGATCTCATGATTTCAGAAGTCTCAGTCCACAGATGGTCGGTCAATACATCCCTAGGAACTCAAGGGGAGCCAGAACATCATGGTGAAGGAAATCAACTGGGAACATGGCACCAGGAAGCAGAGGGGGTGGGGGGCATAGGGAGGGAAAGAGAAAGAAAGACACAGACAGACAAACACTCCACTCATCAGGGTTAAAACATACATCCCAAAGGCCTACCACCCCCCCAGTGACCCACCTTCTCCAGCCACATACCCTACCTGCCTTCAGTTATCACTCAGTTAATTCCTATCAGGGAATTAATTCACTGATTGGTTAAGGTTCTCATAATCCAGTCATTTCATCAAACTTTCTTGCATTGTCTCACACATGAGCTTTTGGAGGACACCTACTATCTAAACCATAATATGGACTATACAATGTAGAAAGCAGTAAATGTCATGAGAAATACCTTGATTAAGCCCTACAATATTCAGAAGAATTCATTATTTCATGAGAATTTTTAAATTTATAGGATTTATGCCAAAAGAATAATTATACTTCCTGTCCTTAAGAATCTGACTGTCTGATGGAAAAGACAAATAAGTAGGTAATTACAATATGAGGTAGGAAGTAAAAGGATGAAGCAGGTATAGATGAGAAATGAGTTTGAAGATATAAGAAAGGGCCAGAATCAGTATGACTATTCTGAATCATGGAGTTTAGGTTCAATTAGTCTTATCTGTAATAATAATTAAAAGATTTAAAAGAGTTTTGGAAAGGTGGCAGCTTCATTTTGGACAAGTTAAGTTGTAGCAGCCTAGCTTGGGGAAGTGGTATATGCCTATAGACTCAGCTTTGGCTTTGGAAGATCACTTGAGCCCAGGAGTTTGAGACCAGCCTGTATAACATACAGAGACCTGTTTTAAAAATTTTTTTAATAATTAAAGACTTTTTAAAAGATGCACAAAAGGAGAAGGAGAAAAATGACTAGAGAAACTGAGGGAGTGAAGTACTCTCAGCAGGCATCCCGTGTAGCAGAGGTGGCTGGTTAGATCAGACAAATTGGGTACCAGTGCCCTGATATTGGAGTGGTCAAAGCAGAAGCCAGATTGTCTAGGGTTAAGAAGTGATGTGGGAGGTTAGAAGTGCAGACCATGATTTTCTACCACTTAGGGGAAAGTTTGAATCTCACTGAGAAGGTTTGAATTCTAGATTCACCACTTAACCAGTTTTAAGACCTTAGGCAAGTTAATCTGTTATCTTCATCTTTAAAATGGGGATCATAATGCATGCCTTATTAAGTTTTCTGTGAGAATTAAAGGAGTCTATATAGGGAAAACATTTCAGAAAGTACTATTCATACTCTGCACATGGGCTTGGATTGTGGCTCAGTGGTATAGTGAGGCACATGTGAGGCACTGGGTTTGATCCTCAGCACCACATTAAAAAAATAAATAAATAAAATAAAGGTATTGTGTCCACTTATAATTTTTAAAAATTTAGAAAATATATGGTTTGCACATGATTAAAAAAAAGGAAAAAAACTTTCATACAGGTCTTCTAATCCTGGTTTGCTATTAACTCTTTGGAATATAATATCCATCTCAGTCTCTTACGAGAAAAAATAGCTGCTATTTTTACCCAGCTGCCAGAGTTTCTGTTACAAAACTGGTAATATTGAGTAATGTTTCTTGTGCTTGAACTTTTACTTTTCTCAGAAATCTGTAACTCCTGTAGACCCTATCTATAAATTTCTTCCTTTAGGTCCTTATAGAAATATTTACCATTCATACTGTAGATTCCCATACAAACCTTGCATTTATCTCTGTTATATCATCTGTTACATTGTTACTGGGATGATGTCTTTTGTACCAATGTGTGAATTAGTGTAAGATATTTATTTTCAATTGTTTATAAAAGTTTGCATAGTACTGTAGTTTTTACCCCATGTTAGCATCGCTTCATGCTTAAAAAGACTGTGAAAGTTACTTTCTTGTCTCCTGAAATATTTATACAAATGCCTGGGTAGGATATTTAGATTATATAAGATCCTAGCTTCAAATCAGTCAGCACAGTGAATTTCACATTCTTTCTTTTTCCCTCTTTGTTTAGCCCACATAGTTACTTGAGAAGCTTATGAAATACTTAGACTCCTCAACCCATGTTCTCTGATTTTGAAAATTCTACATCATCACCTTCATTTTCATTAACATCTAAGCTCATTCTTAAATGCTATAGAATTATATATAATACATTTGAATGACTCTTATCGTGAAAATTTTATCCTCAATCTTATGCCATTACCATTCTTCTCAGATGGTCTGGTTTTAAAAAAATTTTCCAAATTTTCCTATGAACATTGAATTGTTTTATACTTTTATTTATTTATCTATTTATTTATTATTGATTTATTTTTAGTTATACATGGTAGTAGAATCTATTTTGATTTATTTACTTCCCTTAACAAAATTAAATGGATATAATTTTGACTGCAAAACCACAGTTAAAGAAAAATAATCTTGAAATCACATGTAACTAACAATGTACCATCAAGAAATATGAATTAAAAACATAATGAGGGGCTGGGATTGTGGCTCAGAGGTAGAGCACTTGCCTAGCACGGGCGGGACCCGGGTTTGATCCTCAGCACCACATTTTTTAAAATAAATAAATAAATAAATAAAGGCATTGTGTTGTGTCCATCTACACCTAAAAAATCAATATTAAAAAAAAAACCCATGTAATGAGTAGGATCTGTGTACTATTCTTTATTTTTAAAATCCATTTTATTTACAATGTAACATGTCATTGTGGTAAATTATCTAAAATCATCCTGTATCATCACATGATTTACGAATTATAGCATAGGGCTGGGGATATACAGCTTAGTTGTTGGAGTGCTTGCTTTGCATGCCCAAGGCCCTGAGTTCAATCCCCAGCACCACACATACAAAAAAAGTTCACCTAAGAATCATTGCATAGTTCTATTAGTCATGAATAATTTAAAGAGATTTGTAATTTCCAATCATTGATTATTTCGATTTTTAACGTTTTGCTTCTATAAACATAATAAAAATTCTTATAAACCTAAAAAAAGTATGCATAGTACCTGATACTTAGTAAACATTCAGTAAATGTTAAGTTGCATTGAAAATAGGAAAATGTATAATTAGATATGACACATATTTGTGCAGCTCTACTGTATGTTCATCACAAAGTTTCAAAAATTGAAAAATATTTTGAGATAATTATTACTTTTTGCTGATTATTTAACTCTTTAATGTCAGAAAGGTGAAGGCTACTCTTTGACTTAGCTTACTCTGGTCAGGATGGACAGTATTGTTAAAATGACAGGTTTGTTTTAATCCATTATCAATATTAACATTCCCAATTTAGCTATTATCATTTTCAGAATCATCTTTGAAAAAGAGTAAGAACTTGGTAGGTAAATGTGTAAGGCAAGGCTAGTTAATTAAATATTTTATTAAGTGGTCGCCAGAAAAAAAAATCAGAATTATTTAGGTCCTTTTTTATTGTTATCTGTTTCAATATACTGCTACCAGTCTTTTGGAAAATAAATTGTCCATCACTTGATGGAGTGTTATTTTGTGGTTCACTGTTTTGTGCATGGGCCAGTGAAAATTTTATACCTGGTCTGGCAACTGTTTCTTTACTGTCTCACTCTCTAGTTTTTCCTGAAAACACATAAACTTTCAATCTATCAAAAAAAAAAAAGTGGCTTTGTATGTGTGTTTACATACTGGTGTGTTAATATAGTAGGCATTGGGAGTCTTCTCTGTGTAAATATTTGTAACATGCAGTGTTCTCCTTTCTCTGTTGAAGCGCTCTCCATCCTGTACTCCAGCTAGCAAAGGCAGACGTGTAAGAGACTATTGCACTTTGTGTACCCATCCTGATGCCTTCTACCTCTGTCTCTTAGCCTTTTGCCTGTGATTGCAGAAGCTGTGAACATTTGTGTGATGTATTAGTACATTGATTGCATGCTTTTGCTGCTGCTCCTGCTTCTGCTATTGCTACTCTGCTTTCCTATATTTTCGGGGCTTTTTGTTTGTTTGTTTTTCCTGTTTTGGCTTTGGCCGCAAAGCTTTATGAATGTTCATATAAATTTCTGTAACCAAAACACTAAAATAATCAGATATCATTTTTGTTTTGATGGGGGGAGGGCAAAAAAGTGATCCTAAAGAATACTTTCTAAATTAAATACAAAAAATGAGTTTTTAAATAAGAATCTGATATAATCAGTGATGTAAAGATTTAGATTTCTATTACATAGGAAAAAAACAATTAATTTGTATTATACAAAATTTACAAAAAGGATTTTGAACAAACTATAGATCTTATTGGCTATGGTTTTATGTAAATCAGTTTTAAAGAAATCTTGAAGTTTTTGTTTTTAGTGTAGTTCAAAGGAATCCTCTTAAATATACATACAGATCTGAGGGAATAATGTTACTAATAAATTTTTTAAAACTATCTGCAGCATACTTTCTATACGTATTATTAATAAATGATAAACATCGTTTATGTTAGTGCTAGCTCCCATGTTTCTCAAATACTTTCTATATGTATTATTAATAAGTGATAAATATCTTCCTATGTTAATGCTAGCTCCATGTTTCTCAACCTGAAGTGGTTCCTCTTCTACCCCATCCTAAAATATTCTGATGTGCCCATACTGGGGGATCTATATGTAGAAAGGTCTCAAAAGTTTTCTAAACCAGCCTCTATCCTAGCACCAGTCTCACACACATATATACTTCCCAATCTGAAGCAATAGGCTAGTTGATATATTTTTTCAGATTTTCATATACTGTGTAAAATAGTAATATTTGAAAGGGAAGTCAGTAGTGATTTTTACCTGTCAGGTTCATGATTATTGGGATTGATCAACAGTTTAGTAGATAGAGTACTTGGATTTGGGAAGTTCTAGATCAGTTAATTCTCTGATTTATGGAGGAGATGGGAAGTAGTAGGGTGGCTCATTGCTTCCTGTGTCCATTCTGATGTGATAGAAGGTTGGTTGTCAAATAAAGCATGAATAGTTCTAGTATCACAGTACTATCAGAGTATTGTTTAATAATAAGCAGTTTAAAAATCATTCTGTGTTAGTAGAAAACTTTGAGTTCCACTGACATTAATTATTGGTCTGAGAAAAGATTGCTGGTTCAACAGATTTCTTTATTAATTTTGGGGATTTGTAGAGAGTTAAAACAATTAGATGTTTGGATTTATCAAGTTAATCTGGGCACATGTTAACTTACTTAATATAGCCTCTAGAAGGAAAGACTAAAATGTTGTGTGCCCAATTGTATTAGGTTTAAATCATCAACCTGTGAATTGATTAAATTTATAATTGCTTCTTTTTCCATAAGATTATAATATAGAAAAGTTGTTTTTCTAATTAATATGGCTTAGTTAATCTCACTTTGCCATGCAGACTTTAGAGGCCTTGACCATCTAAAACATTTCTCTAAATCATGAAATACGGAAAATTATTTGAGGGAAATACCTATTAGAAGGTCTCTTTGATTTTTATTTATTGTCTTTGTCTTTATTACATAGAATATGAATAAGCCATAGTGAACCAAAATTTACAGACTTAAAATAACACACAGCTTTTTTAAAACTGAAGATAGGCTTGATTATCTGCTTTCTTAGTAATTTTTCCTGGCTTAACTATCTGACCAATAAAAATGCAACCAGTGAATATTGTAGTGTCTCTGAAGGAGATGTTTGAAGAAGTATGAATTATTCAGTAATTAAATAGAAACTTCTCAAGGGTTATTTTAGTCAGCTTTTTTGCTACTGTGACCAAAAGACCTGACAAGAACAATTTTGTTGTTGTTGCCCTATTTGTATTTTATTTAAAGAGAGGGTCTCACTGAGTTGCTTAGCTCCTTGCCATTGCTGAGGTTGGCTTTGATCCTCCTTGTCTTAACCTCTGGAGCCACTGGAATTACTGGCATGTACCACCAAGCCCAGCCTGACAAAAACAATTTTAAAAGAAGAAAAGCTATTTGGTGCTCAGTTTCAGAGGTCTGAGTCCATAGATGACAAACTCCATTCTTTAGGGCCTGAAGTATGGCAGGACATCTTGGCTGAAGAGTGTGGTGGAGGAAAGTGGCTAAGGACACAGCCTTCAGGAAGCAGAGAAAGAATTCTCCTTACTAGGAACAAATTATGTACCCCAAAAGCACACCCCCAATGACCCATCTCCTCTGGCTACACCCTGAGTTAGACTATTGGAGGATTAATGCACTAATTAGGTTAAAGCTCTCATAAACCAATCATTTCATCTCTGAACTTTCTTGCATTATCTCACATATGAACTTTTGGCAACATCTCACATCAAAACCATAGCAGTGGTCCCTGGGACATACGGTATTATTCTAGTAGGACAAAATAGCTATTCCTAACAGTGAATTTCACATTATAGATCATGTTTTTAGATAAGTAAATGTGCAATGCTTTTATAAACTTTAAAATTTGCTGTAAAATGTGATAGAAATGATGACATTATTAAATAATAATTGCCGTATTCAAATTTTATATGTGTTTAAGCCTCATTTATAGTTTAGGTATTTTATAAATGATGTTATTTAATTAAGCATAGTATAATAAAAAATGTTATGAGTGGTTTACTCTGAATACAGATGGTTAATGAGAGTTTCATAGGGTTTCCATTAATAGTGAAAAATACTGATGTCTCATTTTAGAAAATAATATGCTCCACACCCTAAAGGAACAATCTGAAATGAAATGACAAACAAAACTTTGTTATACTTTCTTAGACATTTCTCCAGAATGGGTTCTCAAATCAATATACTGAAAAGAAAATTTTCCTTAAAGAGAAACAAGTTACATTGTTTAGTAAGATTGCATAATCTTCGGTAATTTGTTGTTATGATTTGCTTTATATGGTAAAATATTGACCGTTTTCTGAGTGATACTGTGTTTCTTTTACACTGTGGTTTTTATTATCATAAGCTCAATTAACAGAAATAGTTATTTCACTGAAGATTTGAGATTAATAAATGTTCTGAATGTAAAACATTAGGCTAGCGGCTGGAGATACAGTTCAATTAGTAGAATTTTAGCATTGCATCCACAAGGCCCTGGGTTCAATCCCCAGCACCACACACACACACACACACACAAAAAAAAAAAAAAAGACTACTTGCTCCTTTGTCTTCTAAAATATTTCTAGCTAAAGGATAAATAAAATTTTTAAAATTGAATATTTTTCTGTTAACTTAGAATTTTATATAAATGGCATGTTAAATGCAAGCTGTTGTTTACTAAGTTGATCATTTATAGTTCATATTATACTTTGGTATCTTTTACTTAAAATAAGGTCTCATTAGAATATTGCTACTTAAACAAATCTGTAATTATTAGGGGATAGAAAAGGCCCACTGATGCATACTCACGATGAAATTTTTAGTTATTTTTATTATTTCTAGAAAAAAAGTAGTGCGTAATTTAAGAAATTCTTGAGATGTAAGTGATCTAAAAATCAGACATTTGCCTGACCCTGAAAGATAAAAAAAAAAAAAAAAAAAAAAAAAAACTTTCAATTTTACTGTACAGTATACTCTAAAATTACATTGTGAGGAAAGTCCTAATGGATTCAGGGAACATTATAGACTTTTAGTATGACAGTGCTGTGCATTGTGGACAATATTAATATTCAGCTTTTCTGCCTTTTTTAAATTAATAACAGAGTTAAGTAAAAATAAAACTGGAGTATAATAGACATCTGTAATGCCTATTCATCAAAGTAACTTATTAAAATGATTACTTAAGAAAAAATTTGTTAACCAAAAATTAGGAAAAATTTATTTGTTCTACAGAAGAGTGTTTCTTAATTATTTTTTCTGAGTGGATTGCAACTTAGAAATATAGACTGAATTGCTTATGCCATTTAGTTAAAATTTGTTTCCAGGGTCTTTGGACAAAATCAAAGTATACTGTCCAATGAATATTAGCTATTTATTGCTTTTTTGCTGTTTTCTCTTTTTATCATTTCTTTCTATAACTATAAATCCAGTTTCCAAATTAACATTTATCTCTTGCTTTGGTTGTATATTATATTTATTAAGTTTTGGTATATTAATAATTGCTTATACTTGGTACTATAATATTTTTCTTGATGCAAAGAGTTTAACTTCCATAGTTTAATAATGATGATTATGTTAGTTTTTAAAGTTTTAATGTTATCAATTGGTTGCTTTGCTGCTGTACTACATCTGAATCGTTCCCAACTAATTATTAAAACTGATTTTAGGCTAGGTTGAATTCTAACATGTGATCATTGAATATCCTGAAAGTTTAATTGAATTGTCTTTTAATGTTTAGAATAAGCCATTGATTGCTATGCATGGTAAGCATTTGATTTTATTAATTAAAATAATAACATGTTGAAAACCATAGTCCTGTTTAAAACTTTGATGTGAAAATATTTGATATTGTATTTTTTCTTATTAGTATTATTAAAGCACATATGAGATTGTTTATACTGGCAGTAATTCAGAAATGAAATGAAATATTGTAATTCTAATGTCATTAGCTACCCACTTCAACTATAGTCTTTAGAAAACCTAGAGTATTTTTTAAAGTTTGATGGTCAAAATTTTTGTCTTTTTGCCATGATTTTACTCAGCTTTAGTAAACTTTGTTCCTTATATTTATGAGAAACAACATTTGAAAGTAAAGTGGTTATTTTTAAACTTTAACTATATATTCATTTTCAAAAGTCCAGAGTTCAGCATCTTGATATGTTCTGTTAATGCCATCTCAAAATAGTATACCAATATATTTACTTATTTTTTAAATTTTTAAAAGAAAAATAACTTGATTTTTATTTAATCTGAAATTAATTTTTACCTTAACAGCATGCAACTCTATAAAGCAAGTATCATAATTTTCATAATTTTATTTTATTACAATTGATATTGGTTATATTTTTAATTTAAATATTTTCTGTTTCTGGATATAACCAGGTTTTACCTCAGTCAGCTAAGAAAATCATTTTTTTTGCTTGGATTGTGGCTCAGTGGTAGAGCACTCACCTAGCATGTATGAGGCACTAGGTTCCACCCTCAGCACCACATAAAAATAAATAAATAAGTAAAGATGTTGCATTCATCTACACTAAAAAATTTAAAAAAATAGAAAGTCATTTTTAAAATCTATTCACCTTTATATTGCTTTATTTCATTTTTTATTAAGATGAATAAAAAGACTTTAAGAAATGAGAGTAATTCTTCAGATGAACCAAAAGATGTGTTTTAAAAGCCTCAGAAGTTTTAAGAGTAATGTGAGAGACTTGATCAATAGTGGATTTTTGTCCCTTTTCTCTAGTATCTATCTCACTGTCGTAATGTTACATTTTCATAGGGTCATAAAACATATTGATAAATGTTTTAACAACTGTGGGGCAATGGTAACCCTGCTTTTGAAGGTTGCTAATTTTGTAATGTAAACCCCTTATTAGACTGCATACTGACAAAATGGCTTGAGGCAGCATATTTTAATTTCAGAGCAGGACAGTATAAAACAGTGTGCTCCACTTGTATGGGCATGTGTTTATATGGCTCAACGAGCAGGCCTGCTGTAAAATTTTAATTATTCCTAGTGGAAACAGCAAGTTCTTTTTCATGTTTAGAGTTTTTAAGTCATTGGACCCAGAGGTACAGACCCATTGTTACTGTGACAGACTGTGTCAGTCCGTCTTATCACAGCATTGCCTTTGGCCCAGGATTTAGAAACTCTAATAAAGTTTTCTTTAAATGGTTCCCTTTTTTACACATAAAAAACCTTCTACTTGAACACGTCTTTGAAATGTTATGAGATAATTATTTGAGTTACTTTTAAGTTCTTGTAAGTATAAAATGTGTCAGTACTCCTTTGCTTATTCCACTGTAACTGAACTTCCTCTCTCCCTGTGTATACTTATTCATCTTACAATTTTTATAATCTTATATAAACAAAAAGGAGGAGATTTTTAGAAAGTGAAAGACATTTCTGCCTTATTCCCAGCCTAGTATCATATTTTAGATTAATAACTTAAATAGATAATCATCTCCAGTGACTACCCCTGAATAAAACTATGAACTGGGCAAAAGTTGTCTTTAGTATCATTTTCTTCTTTTATGGTCTTTTTCCTGGCCAGAGGTCACTATCAAGAAGGGAAATAACGTGACTTGGCCTCCATAATCATAAAGTTATTTTGAGTACCCCTGCCATAGAGATAACCCCTGATAGAATAAAAAGAATGCTAAATGTGGAGTTGAGAGACAGGATTCAGACTTGGCCCTTCAAATTCATAAAACATATTAGTTGTAAGGAATATTCCATGTTACACAACAGCTGATATTTAGCTGGTAAGCTTCAGTTCAGTAGCTCCAGAATTTAAAATATTGAAATATTTTCCTAGCATTTGGTGATTAACTGCTGGTCCAAGTCCCCTTGATGCCCTCATGGAGCCTCTTCTTCTCTCCTCACTTCTCCTTAATCTAAAAATTAAAGGTCTAAGTCCTGGTAGTGATTACATTGACCAGCCACCAAAGCCTTGCCACCATAGTGCCTGCCTATACCCACCACCCTGGGAGGCTACACTTGGGGATACCTGTAGAGGGACCCTCTAATGTTGCCAGCTTAGTAGTCTATTTCTCCCACACCTCCATCAGATTATAGAAATTCCCACTTTGAACAAAAGTTAACTGTTTTATATAAATAACACATCATAAATCCAGAAGAATATTCTACTTCAGTTGTACATGGGAAAATAACCTCAACTTGAGAAAATGATTTGTACATTTGCCGCAGTCTGGCTGGGCACAAAATCACGAGCCACTCAAGCAGGAACAAACTTTATTTTTGAAACTGCCTCCAATGCCCCGGCACACGCCGTGTGGGAAGATTGCCAATCCACACACTCAGCTTCTCCCCGAACCCCAGAGGAAGTTCCTCCCCCGGAATTCCTTCCTACTGCACTTCCCCAACCAATGAAAACTCTCCAGGAGTCCTGTGCAGGCTGAGGTGAACAGCAGGAGTCCAATATCCATATGAATGCAAATCTTAACATAATCATATCATCTCAATGGCTAGCTGGCGTCACCTTTCAACCAAAAATGCCATGCATCATATTACTTGGCTGTGGCTCTTAGCAACATTTAGAGAACAATGTCATGTGCCAGAATTCTGTGGAGCTGAAATCAAAGCTAAAAAGTTAATTTTGGGAAAACCTTTTCTCTCCCAAGTTTGTGTATTCTCAGTCATTGATGATTCAACCTAGAATTTTAAGAAGTTTTATTCACTTAGTTTCAAATTTAAGGGTCATTATTCTTTTAATCATTGAATAATTCTGTTTTGTCAAGACATAGTCTCATGACTGTGTCTAAATCATCCATCAGTGACAGTTATAAGAAGGGAAAATAATTTTATGTACTTAAAATACTTAGCCTCTGATGCTGTTTTTTATTGATTTGTAACTTCTGATCATAGCATTGTTCTTTTTATACAATATATTTAAAACAAATTTCCTAACCTATTTTCCAAATTGTCTTTATTGCCTTTTATTTTAAAAACTCAATCCTAGTAATTTTGAAAATTGCCAAATGGAATAGATGCTCAATCATTGTGCTTTATAACATCTTTAAAATTTTAATTCAAAGCATTTCAATTTCTGAAAGTACTTAGCTTAAAGGGTATAAGTGAGTATAAGTGCTGGATTTCTGCTGCTGCAAAATTAAAAGGAATTGACTTAAGTGACAAGCACAAAGCTGATATTAGCTTCTTTTGCTTTCACTAATGTCTAATAAAAGAACAAATTTCATTTTTATCAAGGACAAAATTATGTCTGATCTGCAACATTTACTTCACATGTATGATTTGCTTTGTGAAATAAAAAGTTCTATAAGGAATACAAATATTGATTATGCAGTAGAGACCAGTGCTCAGAGTAAGAGATGAGCAATGAAGGTTATCACCTTGCCTTTGGTTAATTTCTGTTATCTTAACCCTTGATTATATTAAAGCTAGTGGTTATGCTTTTGTGTAATGACATATCACATCCCTAAAATGAATATTTAAACTGAAGTTTATTGTCCTCCGTTTTCAAGAAATGTTGTCATAATCATGCCTTATAGGAATTTTCTAAGAGCTACACAATATTTAAAAGTGATTTCTTGGGTTTTTGTTTTTCCTGACTTATTTTCCTAGACTGATCCCGTTGAAAACACTTATGTATGGAACCTGAGCATCAAGTATGTAAACATCCAGTCAAGGTCCACAAGTCCTTCCATATCTAGTGAAGCTGAGCCAGTTAAGGTGCTTCATTGGAGCAACCTTGCTCCCCTTTTCTTACACTTGTGTCAGAAAAGAGAATTGGAGGGGGAAAAAAAGTGAAATCTATCTTTTGTTAATCAAATAGATTTTGTAATAAGTTAGAGGTCATTACTTTTTTAATTTTTTTTTTAAGTTGTAGATGAACACGATACCTTTATTTTGTTTTATTTTTATGTGGTGTTGGAATCCAGCCCTGTGCCTCATGCATGCTCAGCAGGCGCTCTACCATGGAGCCATAACCCCGGCCCTAGAGGTCATTACTTTTAAATGATAATGTAGATAGGAATAGAAAATGAATTAGAAAATTGTTCCCCTAAACTTACCTAAAATAGACAAAAATATAACTCTAATAGCAATCTGTCTACATGGTATAGAACTATGCGGAACACAGGATAGTTTTATGTAAAGGTTAGAATTAACAGATACAAATTCTGAAGGTACATGCAATGTAGGTGACATTCTCACATTTTAATTCTTATAATAAACTTAATAAACCATGATATAACTCATCTGTTACATCATAAGCACGGCTTAAAAATAAAATTGCCACTGCTGGCAGCTGAGTATTTTATTCTGACTGCTGAATCCACCTCAGGTACTAGCTTAACTAAACTGTACCATGCCCTTTAATAGTACCAAAAAATGTGTTGTTTTTACACTTCATGTCGAGCCATGGCTTTTAACAGCCAATTGGCTGGTTTTCTCACCAGAGACAATTTCCTGCACAGGTTAGAACAATATGTTGTGTCTCAGTTCATGCTACCTGCCTTGTGACACAGTCCTAGTTTTTCACTTAGCATTACAGTTCCTGCAGAGCTCCTTTGCTTCCCTCTTTGTGATCAACAAAACTGTGTCTAGCTATCCACAGGAGCAGATGTTTCAGTGTAAGAAGTTGTCTTAAGTGTGAACTGTAGTCATGACTTGTTTCCCAACTATGATACAGTCCTCAGACTGGTTAATGAAACCCTCAGTATTTTTAGTTACAATTGTTTCAATATTTGGGGTTAATGGAATTTTATTTTAATGATAAAACCTTTCAGGCATATACAGAATAATATAATAAATACCTATCACCCACAGATTTAACAGATAAGAATATTTTATTTTACTTTTTCAGTTTTTTTCCCCAAAGAAAAAATATTCCAGAACCAGTTAATGTCTTCCCTTACACCATTCCTCTCTTTTTTCCCAGATATCTAGAATATCTAGAATCTGGATGCATATCCCCTTCCTTGGTTTCACCTGTTTATTTCATTTGTATCCATAAACAATATATAGTAATGTTTGTCATGTATTTAAAATTTGCAGAAATGTTAACTGTGTCCTTCTGCATCTTTTTTCACTCATAAGTATGCATTGAGGTTTAATCATACAGATACATGTCCATTTAGTTCATTCATTATAACTGCGGCATAATGTTTCATTGTTTGAATATGCCACAGCTATTTATCCATTCTTCTGTTGTTGGATATTTAAGTGATTCCAGTTTTTTATTATTATAATCAGCACTGAAGTGAACCTCTTAATATCTATCTACCTTTGCAAATGTGCAGTTTGTTTAGCATTTATACATAGAAGTGGAGTTACTGGGCTTTATGTATTTTTGGTTTTAACTAGATCTTACCAAACTGTTTTCCATAGTGGTTGAACCTGTTTTCATTCCTACCAGCAGTGTGTGAGAGTTCCCTGTTTGCCCACATCCTTGCCATAGCTTGGTACTATCAGCTATTAACTTATGTCAATCTAATAGGTATAAAGTGACATTTTTGTTTTAACTTGATTCTGTTTTCTAATATATCTTTTTAGAAAAGCATCTTTTTTTATATATGTTTGTTGGCTATGGATGATTTGCCTGTTAATGTTTTTGTCCATTGTTCTACTGACTTACTTTTCCTCTTGTTTTATAAATATCCTTTATATATTCTGGATACTAATTCTTTGCTGGCTATATGCATTGTAAATATTTTCTTCTGGTCTTGGTTTATTTTAAAATTTTATTTGTGGTATCTTCTGTCTTGCAGAAATGTTCATTTTAAAGTTGTCAGTTTTATCAGTCATTTCCTTTGTTACTTATGCTTTTTTATGCAGTTTTTTTAAAGCAGTTCTTTTGCAGTGCAGAGATTATGAAGATTTTCTTCCATATTTTCTTCTAGGAGTTTAAAACTTTGGCTTTTATGACCTTAATGAAACTGAAATTTATTGTTATATATAATAGAAAGTGGGATTCTAATCTGTTTTTCCCATATCAACATCTGGCTCTTTTATATTTCCCCTCCTTTGATTTGTAAACCCAACACTACTTTGTGTGCATGGGTCCGTTGGAGTTCTCTTTCTCTTTCACTGCCCTTTTGCTTATTTCTGCACTGATACCAAATCATCTTATTTATTCTAGCCCTAAAATAATTCTTGATACCTGGTATAGTGAGCCACCCCCAAAAAACTTGATTCTTTTTCATCTTGACCCTTTGGTTTTCCATATTACTTTTAGTATTAACTTGTCAAGTTCCATGAGGGGCTTTTGATTGGAATTGCATTGAACTTATAGATTTATTTGAAAAGAATTGACATCTTCATGATATTGGGCATTTCTGTCTATGAACATGATATGCATAGTTGTTGGTTATTCTTTTACATCCTTAAATAAGGTTGCATTACTTTCAGTGTACTCCATGTTATTAGATTTGTTCCTAGGTATCTTAAAATTTAATTACTCTGATGAGTGGGATCTCTTTAAATACTTTATTTTAAAAGTTAGGCATTGCTTATCTTTTTAAACTCTGTTGATCTTGTATCCAGCACCTTTGCTTGACTCTTTTTTAATTTACATAACATTTCTTGAACTTTCTATAGCATTCTAATGAAAGTTTTGTTTACTGTTAATTTTTTTCATTAACTTTTACATAGATTTTTCAGTGTTTACTTTCTTATCTTTTAAATTTATCCTCTCAAATGTTGAATTATAGATTGGGTTCAAGCTATTCAAAAGGAAATATAGTTCCAGTTAGAACTAAACTCACAGTTAAACAGAAGATCCTAAAAAACACACTGAATTCCATTTTAAGGCTATACTGAATGTCAAATAGTCTATTTTTGGAAGTTATATGTAATAAAGGCAAAGAGAGACCATCAATTTTTCTCCTAATATTTTTAAATATTAAAATTAGGATATAACTTATTTTCTTACTTAATATTCTAAAAGGATGTTATTTCTCATCTTTTTAAATACTTTTCTAATTAAATATTGTCTCTTTGTCATGTCCCCCACATACAGTAACATCCAATAAATCAATGATTTATTTCAAAGAAATAGCTTACAATAATACCTTATAAAACTGTTTGCCTACTAATAAAGATAATAGTTTGTAACTAAATTTGTGTTAAATTCAGAATTCCAGTAATTTTAAATAATTTAACTCTCTTATTTGGTAATTAATTTTACAAAATCCCACTAATCTCTACCTGTATATTCAAATCCACAGTTATTTGTATTCCACACATTTAATGTATGTTCTAAAAATGGAGGTCAAGTAGTAAAAAGGAATCTTCTAAATATTTTTATTATAAATAAAAATTAGATACTTTTTAGGATGAATATATCAAATTCATAGGAATGGAAAGTTAGTATCCTCATTTTTATATGTAGGTTACATGCTCTGATTCTTTGATTTGGTTTGGTTTTCTTCCATGGATTTTCTTTTCCAAATTATTCATTTTAAAATTTCCAGACTGAAATATTTTTTACTAATTGAACAAATTTCAATGTAGACATTGCAGAATAAAATTTAAATGATCAGTACTATGAGAATTTCAACTTTGATGAGATTAACTAGTAGAACTCTTTGCCTAATTGATGTTTGTTCATTTCTATTTACTTTGGTTTCTTTCTAGTTATGTGTAAGATGAATGAAATGTTTCATGACATTTGTTTCCCTTTTTGCCTCTGGGTTCAGATTGCAGACAGTGCTCCACCTCCAGTTCACACACCAACCTTAAGGAAAAAGGGATGCCCTGGTTCAACTGGTTTTCCACCTAAGGTACTCTAGTTATAAACATAATGTGTTCAAAAAAAAAAAAGGATAGTGTATTTCTTTTGCTTGTTTATATACTATGCTTTTAATTCTGATTTCTTCAAAGTTAAAAACATAAAAGCATGGAAGGAAAATAAACTCAGTATGAATGGAAATAATCACTAATGAGAAAGATAGGAAGCTTGTACAGTTTTGGGATTTTTTTTTTTCTGTCCTAAATTCAGTGTTTTAAAGTCTAAGTAAGGTGTAATGCTTCTTCCAGAAACTACTCTGGATTGTTGCCTGAGGAAAACATTAAGTTGAGGTCTTCAATGCAAGAATATGGAATTGGGATTATTAAACAAAGCACTGAGAAAGATAAATGTTTAGTGAAAAACTCAGTTGAATCTATCTTGCTTCCCCTTTCCCTTCATTCTAGTCAATTGACTATGACACATGTATTATAGAGAACAGAACATAAAGATTTAGTTGCTTTTCTCAGATTCCTACAAAGAAATTCTAGAAATTGGAAAACTGAAATGAATTACCTCTCAAAAACATAAACCAAAAACGTAGAATGAGAGAAAGATAAGCAGATCTGAAAAAAGTATAAGTGGTATAAAAGAAAGACCATAAACTGAATAATATATGCCTATCAAGAGAGTAAAAAAACCAAGAAAAAGCAAATGTACGTTCAAATCTTAGAGGAATTTACTATGGCCTCTAAAAGCAAAGAAACCAAAGGAAAAGCAGATGTACATTCAAAACAGTCCAAAAATAATGTAAATAGAAACACAGTGTAGAGTGAGCATGTATTGGTCTTGCCTGGAGAAAAAGTATATAGGTGATATTGTCTGGTGGTTAACATTTTAAATCCCTGGCCAGACTTCCTAAATTAGCAGTTAGTAATCTCAAACATATTGTTTACCTTTCTGTGCTTTCATTTCCTCATTCAAAAAATAAAAAAGAGAGAGAGACAATACTAATACCCATTTCATTGAATAGTTTATGAGTTTTAGACAAATTTAATGTTTGTAAAGAACCTAGAATGATATTGGCATAATATACATCATAAGTATATTTATATTTGTAATATCATATAAAATGTCAAATAAATAAATATTGGTAACTCAGTAAGGAAATTAAGCATAAGTATGGATCTTCATAAGTGGAAGGGAATAAATAGGAGATTAGTAAGTAAAAAGTATAAATTTTAAACCTTTGAAAGAAAATAGTCATGAAAAAGAGTAAAGAAAGGAAAACATGGTGACTTGGTACTCCTGCTGTGTAATAAATTGTCTGAAATCTTTTTTTTTTTTTTTTTTGGTACAGGGGATCAAACTCAGGGGCACTCAACACTGAGTCACACTCCCCAGCCCTATTTTGTATTTTCTTTAGAGACAGGGTCTCACTGAGTTGCTTAGCGGAACTTGCAATTCTCCTGCCACAGCCTCAGCCTCCCAAGCCACTGGGAATACAGGTGTGCCACACCACATCCAGCAAATTATCTGAAATCTTAATGTATTGAAACAACCCCTTTTTATGCTTACAAATTATTGGGCTATGAATTTTGGAATGATTCATCTGGGAAGCTCTTATTAGGAGCTTTCCATGTAATTGTAGTTAAATAACAGCTGAGACTGCCATCATCTGAAGGTTCAACTGAGCTGGATTGTTCACTTCCAGGGGTAGGCATTTGATGCTGGCTGTCATTCAACCGCTTACAGTCTTTCCAGCATGACAATGCTAGTCTTCCTACATGGCAGCTGCCTTTCCCCAGAGTGAACATGCCAAAAGAACCAGGTATAAGCTGCATAGCTTAAAGTAAAGACATATGAAAGGTAGAAAAGGAAAGTAGAGGACACAGATGTATACTACACATAAAACAAACAATTATAGATTAAGTTATTTTCCCATACACTCCAAAATGTAAATGAACAAATCACCAGCATCTATAAGACCTTTGCGGTATTTAAAGTTATATTTGTGTAAATTGAGATAAAGCGAAGTGACTTATAATGACCCTTGGCTACAAAACTAGCAAGGGAGCATTAATTACTCCTGGAAAGATCTGAGGACAGTAGCCGAAACTGGGAAGGGATTTCTCAAGTGCCATTCCACAGTAAGCATAAGGAGATATAAGTAGAGAAAGATCTGGCAGTGCTAAAGTTAGGAGTTCTCAAAACTAACAAATTAGAAATGCCTTTCCAGATCAAAGTCCTGTCCTATGGAGAAATAGTTGGATGTAGATTCAAAATTGAATAGGACAGGGAAGAAAAGTGGGAGTCCAAATAGATAAGAAGAGGGAATAAAGATCTTAGAAAGTATGAGATCCTGTATATGTTTTTTTCATTTTATGAAAATAACAGAAAAGGAAATCTAGAGCTCTGGAGCTACAAAAACTATCCTGGCCCACCATTTCCACATAAAAGGATAGGGAAAGTTAAAGGTAAAACTGATCAACTGAAAAGAGTTACAGTTAAATCTCACACAAAATGATTACATTTTAAGAAGAATAAGGTATAAAATATCTTAATAAAAGATAAAAGTCTGCCAATCAAAGAGTGTTTGTTTCAGGTTGGGGTTGTGGCTCAGTGGCAGAGCGCTTGCCTAGCATGTATGAGGCACTGAGTTCAACCCTAGAAGCACCATATTAAAATAAATAAAATAAAGTATTCTGTCCATCTACAACAACAACAAAAAAAAAGTGGTTTGTCTCTACAAAACCAGTGAAAATTAGTGGATAGTGGGGTATGGAAGCATCCATCAGTGTTAAGATTTTGTGTTCAACCCCAGAACCAAAAAAGAGAAGAAAGAGGAGGAATTACAGTGAATATTTCAAAAGAAATTTATTTCTCAAATAATAGAAACTTAAATTTAAAAAATGAGAATTCTAAACCTTAAAAGCGAAGGTTGTTTTGAAAAAGGAAAATTTGAAAAAAGAAGATAAAGCATTTAGGAGAAAACTACAATTTAAAATACAATGTGATTTCAGGAATATAGGCTAGTGTACAGGGAATTCAAGAACAAATACACTAGCAGATAATGCCTTGTGACAAATAGATAAAGAGGTGGATTTTTTAATTTAGCGAAGAAATGAGCAAAGAAGTTAAAAAAATTTAAGAAAAAGCAATAGAAATACTGGCAAAGAAGAGCCAACATTTTTTATAATAGGAGTCCCAGAAAAAGAACATGAAGCAATGGAAAATACTAAAAAGTTAGTCAAGAAACTTTCCCAAAACAAAAGAAGACTTGCATCTCAAATACCAGGATGTGCAGCATAGCTGAGAAAATCAACTCAACCAAAATAACATATTCTAGTGAACTGTTACTGGTCTTTTTAATTTGTTTTTTTTTAGATGTAGATGGACATAGTATCTTTATTTCTTTTTATGTGGTGCTGAGGATTGATCCCAGGGCCTCATGCATGCTAGGCAGGCACTTTACCACTGAGCTACAGGCCCAGCCCCTGTTATTGGTCTTTAAAGAAATGCATTGGATATTCAGGTAAAAAGATTGGTCTCATCTGATGATGAGATTATCATCAGATTTTTTTTTTCAGTAGCTTCACTGTGCTGGAAAACAGTGGAATGATATATTTAAGATACCCGAGGAAATTATGAGTCAGAGTTTTAAGAAGCTAAGTTGTTTTGTTGTGGTGGTTTTGTCTTTATTTTTATGACTGAGCTATTGCCCTAAGATTGGAAGGATACAAAAGCATCCTCCAAAATACAAAGCCACAGAAAAATGTGTAAGAGTTCAAGAAATGGTTCCACAGTCTTTCTGAGGAATGTACTAAAAAACAAGTTTCAGATAATCAAAATAATAAGACACCAGGTAATTTGAGAGTCAGGAGGTGAAATAAGGGTCTAGAGAATGGTCTACAGAATGGTTCAAAAAGCTGGACTTCGTGGTGCATGCCTTTAATTCCAGCTACTCAGGCTAAGGCAAGTAGGATCCACCAGTTCGAGGCTAGCCTCAGCAACTTAGTGAGACACTGTCTCAAAATAAAATATTAAAAGGGCTGGGGATATAGCTCAGTGGTAAAGCATCCCTGGGTTCAATTCCCACTACCACCACCCACCCCACCCCCGCCAAAAAAAAGAAAAGGAAAAATAGCTTTTACTTCAGAATGATTTAAAATCCACATGAAGCATTAAACTAGCTCTCAAAACATAACTATTCTACCCTGCCATATGTTAATTTTGTAGAGCACTTAAACCAAAGAGACCACACAAACTCAGCAATACCAGATTTGGTGAAAGAGAAAAATATCAAATGACAAATAATGAGACTTTTAAATAAAAAGTCTACAAGCAAAATGATAAGATTCCAAATGCCTTTCCCTTGCTTTTCTCCCAAGATATTGGCAGTTGGGGTTATACCTCCTCTCCCCTCTCTCCTTGAAGGATACCAGTAGATTCTCTAAAGAAATAGGCCCAGAAAATATCTATAGATAATGGCATTTGAGGGTCCTCAGTGAGATGGCAGATCGTCTCTAAACAAACACAAATATTTGCTTACATATTTACACATAAGTGCATGCACACTCTCTCACATACACACACACATATACCCCTTTCTATATAGCTTTTTTTCTGTCTCTTAAAAATGTTCAGATTCTCAAGAATCAGCAAGCATTTTAGTAAATTCTCTAACAAAAGAAAAAGCGGAACAATGTTTTTGTATGTTTCTTGTTAGAGGAAAAAGAAGCTGTGAAGAAAGCAGAAGAAAACAAAAATAACCATCAGAGAACATGAGGTCTTTGGAAAATTAAAAATGTTAACCATTTTAAAAAATCAATACATGAATTAGGAGATAAATTTTAGAAAATCTCTTAGAAAGTATTTTATCCAGGCACAGTGGCACGCACCTGTAATCTCAGCATCTTGGGAGGCTGAGGCAGAAGTGTTGCAACTTCAAGCCCAGCCTGGACAACTTGGCAAGACCTTTTCTCAAAATGAAAAATATAACGGACTGGGGATGTAGCTCAGTGGTAGAGCACCCCGCCATGGATTTAATCCCTAGTACCACCAAAAAAAAAATATATATATATATATTGTAAAAGGTCACATAGAAATTAGAAGAGAAAATAATATAAGAAATCAGTATTCAACAAATAGAAGTTCCAGAATAATACATTTTCCATAACTGAAAAATTTAATGCCTTTTTACCCAATTTTTTTTTTCCCTCTTCTAACTATCCTTTCAAGAATTATCAGAAATCAAGTATTTACCAGGATGCAGGGCACAGGGATCTTAGATTAGAAACCAAATAATCTGTTAAATTTAATGTAGGATTAAATTCATGTTTCTTTCTGTTACTATTCTTCACCCCTCCCCTAAAACAAAACCATAGTACTATTGTGTATTGCCTAAAGATTGATGACATCAGAATAATGATTTTTAAATTAAGTTGTATGTTAATACTATTCTCAGTTGAGATTAGTGAAACATGGACCCCTTAATCTTTAATAGTAAACTACACCCACCTTTTCCCATAATTTAATCAGCACCTGCCAGTTGGATGGTTGGTCACCCAAAGTTATTTCTCTGCCAAAACATTGTTTTTTGTTAGCACCACTTTACTCAGATTTGTGACAGCCTGAATAGATCTCTGGGGAAGAGGGAGATGTCTTGGTAGTCTTTTTAAAAAGAAGAAAAAGAATGGAGTTACTTTGAGCAATTGATTAATTCTTTCAGACATATTTGAAGTAACAGCCAAAAATAAATAAGTAAATAGCTGTAGCTGTGACAAATTTGTTGATAATTCTTCACAATACCCAAGAAACTACCTAAAAGTCTTATATTTATTATACACTTTATTCCCTTAATAATGGTAGTTACATCATTCTATGTAAAAGATAATCTAGTGTTTCTTTTTTTAAACTTGTCTTGTGATATATATCCTATCCCAGTTGAACAGAGCAGCTTTTGGTTTGGCTTTGGGATTTTTGGGTGGTGCTTGGGAGCACACTGCCTAGTGCATGTTAGGCAAGTATTCTACCACTGAGCTATGTCCCTAGTCACCAGAATTTATTTTTACTTAAATTTTAGTTTTGAATATTCTTTGTGAGATTGACCTAAACTAAGTACTTCATAACTTTAATCATTACTGACATTTATTGGACTATAAAGAGTAGTATAAATTACACATGAATAATTAGTGAATTTTGTTTTCATAAAGAAGTAAATGTTTTTAAGTACTTACTATGTTGTGTCAGTCATTGTTTGAAAGTCTTCATTTATAAGTAATATTTATAAATATTTAATATTTATACTCATTTAGCCACCTCATGAAGTAGATATTATTATTGACCCTATTTTATAAATAAGGAAAGTGAGATACAAAGGACTGAAGTGATTTGCTCCTGAGTTTATACAGTTGTGTAAAAGAAGAGTTATTATTGTAATTCTTTTAAAACATGCTAAAAAATAATTTGGAGAAGAAAAGAATATTCCAAGGAGATAAAGTCTATATTGGGTTGTCACTGTGTACATCAAGCAAGACAGAAGGGCTGAGGATATAGTTCAGTGCAAGGTCCTAAGTACCACAAAAGAAAAAAAATTGTTGCAATCAAGACAGAGATCTTTACTAGACTTTCAGTAAGAAATTTCAGGCTGACATCTGTTATGGTATAATAGGTGTGTATTTTTATCAGCTCAAGTATAAGTTATACTGCCTCTTTTCCATGAGAAGAAACAGATACTTATAGCCTCTCATTTGTTCTTGCTTCCAGAAGATGAAATACATGATTTACAATAGAAATAAGAGGTTTACGTGATTCTTTTTATTCTTCTAAGGAGGTATAAAGCATATTAAAACTATATTTGTGTACATAAATTATCAAAATTTTACTTAACTCTGCCAAGAATAATTCAAAGAATTTACAGAAATTCTGAAGCCAAGACTTATGAGCAAAACCAAAATGCTACTGTCTGCTTTATACACTTTCCAAATGATATTCAAAAGCAATTATCATTTAACTTAGATTATTTTAGCTTGTTCTAACTTAGTATTATCTCATATAATTGTTTAAAGAGTATAAGCTGTGAGAAGATGCTATGAGAAATGGAAAGAATTCATTCTTCTGTTTAGTAAACATTCTAGTAGATTGTTATGGGACATAGTGACTAACATTTCAGAAATCTTTAAATAATCAATGTATGTTTTCTTATCAATGTTTTGCAGCGCAAGACTCACCAGTTTTTTGTAAAATCATTCACTATTCCTACTAAATGTCATCAGTGTACCTCTTTGATGGTGGGTTTGATAAGACAGGGTTGCTCATGTGAAGGTAAGAAAAAATGGAAAAATTGACTTGTTTGAGCACCACTTTGTTATAACATTTCTACCTAAATTGTAATTGAGTAACTTTATTCTCTTTAAAAGACATACAAATGTTTGTTTCATTTAATCATTTGCTTTTCTCTGGATAACAAGAATATAGATAATAAACTGAGCACTTGCTAAAGTCTTTTGGATATTAGGGAAATTAGACAAATGTTCCCTAGAAATATTTTTCAGGGGAGATATATTTGAATATGTTTAATTCATCTTTGTTTCATTATTTGCATAAATTAATGGCCCCCCAAACCATTAACCTATATGACAGAAGCCATGGAAGTTATCCTTGGATATGTTCATTCAATTTTAACATTGTTTATTTTCAGAAATTAAATATTTGCCTCTATGCCTTAAAAGAAAGTTTATTCCTAGTACTAATAGTAGAAGTTTTTCTTCCTCATTCATTGGTTTACCTGTCATGTATTTTTGGAATGCTTAGTGAATGTGAGAAGGACAAAGGTGCTACACTTGTGGAGCTCACATTTTGAGAGATGGGGGTGAAAGGATCAGGGGTCATTTAAATAGAAAAACCAAGCCTATTTGTTTGAGTACTACTTTATGTTTCCTAGATCTCTAAAATGAAAATGATTTAAATGATAATAGGATATATTATCATTTGTGACTTTTAGAAATATGAATTCTTTTTAAACTTTTAATTAATGTATTTATTTCAGTTAGTTATATATGACAGCAGATTACATTTTGACTCATTGTACACAATTGCAGCACAACTTTACATTTCTATGATTGTACTTGATATAGCATCACACCATATGTGCAGTCATACATGTACCTAGGGTAATGATGTCCATCTCATTCCACTATCTTTCCCTGTGCACAGAAATATGAATTCTTAGTCAGATGAGACTTGCCACTACAAAACCACCTTATATAGGTAAAACCACCTTATATAGGTACTAGTGGTATATCTTATGAAAAAGACAAGAAGATAGTTGCTAATTCAAATTCTAATACTAGTTTATGTTTCTTAGCTTTTCTGCTTTTAGTTTTGAAAAGGAATTTAGATGGAATATAGACACTCTCCATTTCAGGTGCTGAATTCGCTGAATTCTGGGAAGCTACCTGGTTATTTTTTTTATGCATCAGAATTACTTGTAATTCCATAGTAGGAATTTGGAGACTCTTCCCAGTCTCTCTTACTTCTGGAGTCTTGTGCCATGAAATTGTGCCTTTTTTTTCCCTCAACTCCTTGAGGTCTACCTTATAAAGCCATGAAAGTGCATTAGACTATCCCAAGCCTTTGTCTAACAAGCTTTTGTAAATGTTGTGGTAATGTATTATAGTCTCTGATGGTTACTATCATTTTTATTTCTTACTTGTTGATTAAAATTAAATCTAGTTTATAGATACTTATTTTGTTGTTTCAGCTGCCCTTGGGAAATGAGATTTTTTTCCTTATTAGCAAAATGAATTATAACTTTAGATATTCTACTTAAAAGCAAATGATAGCCTAGCACAGTGCTGCATGCCTCTAATCCCAACTACTTGGGAAGCTGAACCAGAGGATCACCAAGTTCTTTGCCAGACCCATCTCTCGAAATATATTTTTTAAAAGGCCCAGGATTTAGATCAGTGGTAGAGTGTCCTGGGTTCAGTCTCCAATACATGGAGTTTGGGGGGACAAATTGAGAAGTTTGTAGTTTTTGGAAGTCAATGCTAATCCATCCTGCCTTTCTGTTCATTTCATAATGTCCATCAGTGATACATAATCCATTTATCTCAAGTTTAAGTATTCTCACGGTAATATCCTTTAGTTCCTTTCTTATTCTTTCCCTAGTTTTCTCCAGGAACCACCTTAGGAGTAGGAATTAAAACTTGGTTTTTTAAAAAAAAAAAATTTTACCTGTAATTTTTACCCAACCAAGTCTCATTGAAACCTATGAGTTCATTTTTATTTATAATCTTGTCTTAGAATCTCCAGTTCACTGTGTAAGTATCAAATAGAGGAATCATGGCAATACTGTTAGTGCAGGATCTGAGCAAAACTGTATGAGTTTGAATTCTACCACTGCCACTTCCAAGCTCTGTGACTCAGGGCATAGGTTACATAGGGATTAAAAACTATACCCCATTTATATTGTCATAGAAAGATTTAAGATGCTCAGTAAAATTAACAGTTATTATCTAGTGGTAGTTTAAGTATATGGGATATTAGTAACTCCAAAAATTTACCATTAGCTTATACCTTTTTAAATTCATTGAAAAATTCTATTTTTAAGAAGATTGGTAAACTTGCCACATGTAGCTGAGATGTCAGGTAGCTTAATGTCCATTAATGACTCTTGCAAGATACATTTCAGAACAGATGCCAAGTTGCAGTAAGACGAAGAAATAGAAATAGTTCCAGAAAACAAATTTTTAGCAATTATAAGTTTAACCAATCATTTTGTGCACAGGGTTAAATATTTTTCTTATCTGTTTGCTTCCCCCTTTGACCACTAATGTTAACAGAGAATAATAGGATTACCAATGATAAAAATATTTACTATTTCTCATTAAAATCCTTATTGATAATCAGATGAGTAGCTTTTCAAATGATAAGACATCATTTGAAATGGTGTTTAAAATAAAAAATAAGCATTTATTTAACAGAACACCTTGCATACAGTTAGTGCACTGTGAATTGTAATTGTTGTAGTCATTAAAATGAATTTTTAACATACGTTGTCTTTTTTTCCTTTCAAAAGTGTGTGGATTCTCATGTCATATAACTTGTGTAAATAAGGCTCCAACCGCTTGTCCAGTTCCCCCTGAGCAGACAAAAGGTCCCCTGGGTATTGATCCACAGAAAGGAATAGGAACAGCATATGAAGGTCATGTCAGGGTAAGTATCCTTAGTTCAGATTTAGATGCATGTTTTAAGATTATGAATGAGTTTAAATAAAATCAAGTCATTTATGAACATAACATTTGACAAAAAATAATGAAATGAACAAAATTCGTCTAATAATTTTATGTCATCCAGTCCAGCAGAACAATTTGAAAATGAAAACCTAGTCTTTTCTTGGAAACAATTTCTAAAATGTCACAAACTTTTCTATATTATCCCTATCTTATAATGAAGAGAGGTTGAAATCACCATAAAGGAGTCTTTGGCCTTTGGTCTTGCCAAAGAGGTACAGTATGGTTCTGAATTACAAGATATTATCAAATAATAATCTTACTTGATTTGAGTAGTATTTACATTGTTCTGCCGCCACTAGCTTCATACTAGAGGTTCGAAACATAGAAATTAACTAGTGAGTTCAAATTAAAGACACATAACAATCAATTTACCTTTTTTCTTGCCCAGCTCAGAGACGGCCCCTCCCAGCTCCTGCCTCTAGCCACCTGGTGGTAGCGAGGTTTACACAAGAGACCAGCAAAAGAGAGAGAGGCATGCCAGAGAGGGAGCTTTTATTGGGGAACAAAAAAATTCAGGGGAAAATTCCATCCAATGAAGGTCCAGGGGGATAGCATTCCAAGGTCAGGGTCAGTGATTGGTTTTTAGGTCAATGGTCAGTCATACCCCCACCCGGGCTTGCACCTGGAAAGGGTGGGGAAAAGCTCTGACACAGCTGGTCTGAATGCCTCACACCCAGCCAAGAACCGCTTCCCACAACATTGTAAGCTGAATTTTATCTTACTACCAAATTTGACGCTTTGCTTTTTTAAGAGAAGAAAAGAAAGAAAGAAACCATGAGTGTCATTTTAATGAATTACTAGCAAAAGTTAAAATGATTCTTTTTAATAGTATTTCATTAAAAGATGATAGTATTTGAAGAATATGTTCTCACTTTTTCTCAATGTTATTAATGATAAGTGTCCCATTTACTTTACCAAAGTGACAGACTTTTGTACATTCTCGTTAGGTTTTCACCTTACAGTTTCATATGTAATTTAAAAGGCTTTGATTGCCACTTTCATTTGATGTGTTTTTGTTTGTTTTCCTTTCTGAAAGATCCCTAAGCCAGCTGGAGTGAAGAAAGGATGGCAGAGAGCACTTGCTGTGGTTTGTGACTTCAAACTTTTTCTATACGATATTGCTGAAGGAAAAGCATCTCAGCCCAGTGTTGTCATTAGTCAAGTAATTGACATGAGGTAAGCCTTCAGGGGTGAAAAGATTTGTATCTCTGCAGCATAGGAATTACAAAGTTTTTATTTTTCTTCTTGCTATAGTCATTAAAATGAGTTTTTATCAAACATTGTGTCTTTTTTCTCTTTAAAAGCAAGTGGATTCCCATATCATATAACTTGTATTAACAGAACTCTAGTATTGTCATGTTTTTACTAAATAATCTAATTTCATGTTAATATTCTAATTTACTAATATTGCTGTAGTAATATTAGTAAATTAGAATATTACTACAGAAATATTAGTAAATTAAAATATTAAAAGTAGGAAGAAAGATGCAGTTCTGGGAGAATTTGGTATGAGTGCTGAGTATGTAGGATTTGGAGCCAGATAAGGGCTGGGGACGTGACTCAGTAGTAGAATGCTTCAGTATGTATGATGCCCTGAGTTCTATCCCCAACACAGCTGGAAGGAAAAAAAAAAAAATGAGCCAAGTAAAAGCAAACAATGTTTGGGTCCCAAAGACCTATTTAAAGCCAGGAGGGGAGGGGAGTGAAGAAAGTCCTAAAGTATAATGTTTATATCATCACCTAGAGGTACGTAGTATGATTCAGTGTGAGGATTATCAAGTGATATATCAGACAATCTATTGGAAAACAGTGAATCAGGAAACATTTAAGTAAGCCAGATCTTTAATGATTTTGGTTTGATTTTCCAGATTCTTCCCCTTGTCCTGTTGAGTGCCCTTGTGTTCCTGAGGGACCTTATTTACTCCCATAGCTTCTGCCATCATTTCTGCCTTTTTGGGTCCCAAACATATATCTCCAAACATATATCAGAAATAGCCATTCATTGCTCAAAACCTACATTTCCTAGCTGTGCTTTACACTGGCATTTTACCCATGCATCTCAAACACGTTATCTTTTACCTCACATTTGGAATATGAAGGAATTCATGCAAGAAATATCAGTAGGAAAAATCTGGCAGAACTTGCTAAGGGACTGACTAGAAAGATAGAGAAGGCCAGGTGTGATGGCCCATTCCTATAGTCCTAGCCACTTGAGAAGCTAAAGCAGGAAAATTGCTTATATCTAGGAGGAGTTCAAGGTCATTTTGGGTAATATATTTGAGACCATGTCTCTTAAAAAAAATCATTTCACTATTTTCAATAAGATGCCCTAATTTTTTAAAAAAGAAACACAGTTGTGGGGGAGGGAATCAAAGATAAGATTAAAATGTGAAGGGTTTAAGACTAAGGGAATGATGGTAAAATAACAAAATTAAGGAAAAACTTTCTGTGAAGGAAATCTTCTTTCATATGTTGATAGAAAAATAAAATGTCAGGTGATCTAAGTTGAACAAACTTGAGATTTATTATGGAGAAAAAGGATTCTCTTAAAGGCTCTGAAGACCTAGCAGGGTTCAAATCCTAGTTCTCTATGTATGCTTACTGGCCTTGTGTCTTTGGATTAGCCAGAAAACATTTGTAGCTCTTGTATAATGTGCCTCTGTTAAATTACTCTGTGTGTGTGTGTGTGTGTGTGTGTGTGTGTATGTGTGTGTGTGTGTATGTGTGTGTGTTGTGCTGGGGATTGGACCCAGGGCCTTGTGCATGTGAGGCAAGCATTCTGCCAGCTGAGCTATATCCCCAGCCCTGTTAAGTTATTCTTGATAAATTACTTTGGGTACTGTTGGTTACAATGGGGAAAATCAATTTTTTTAAAGTTTCAAGTTAGGTGTTTTGTGCAGTTAAGCTTTGAGGATTGCTCAAAGCTTAACATAATCAAAACTCCTCATATATAGCCACTTAAACTAACTTCTAATGTTTCACTTTTCTTTCAGAGATGAAGAATTTTCTGTGAGTTCAGTCTTGGCCTCTGATGTTATTCATGCAAGTCGAAAAGATATACCCTGTATATTTAGAGTAAGTGTGTTCTACAATTTGATCACTGAATTATTTGTCTTTAATGAATATGTTTTTCCTCTATGTAAATCATAAGCCAAATCTAATATTTCTTTTTATGTTCAATATCATCTGATACTTGCATTTATGCTAAGTTTAACTAAGGAAAAACCTATAGAAAATATAAATACATGGCTTCTAAAATATGTTGCCTAACAGGTAGTATTTTTAGTCCAAATTCAATTTTCAAATAAAGAGTCCTTCTTGGAAAATTAAATAAGTGTGAGGTTTCTCAATTTTTTTTTTAAAAGAAGTTTCTCTCTTTAAATATCTTATTTTAAAATCATGCTTATTTCCTATTACCTTGTAACAATGGTCCCAGATCTTAGAAACTTAAACCAACAACATTTTATTATTTTCATCATTCTGTGAGTCAGCTGTACAGTTCTCATGGTGTTAGTTAAGGTTACTCACGGGACTGCATTCAGCTCTTTTTGGAGCTTAGAATACCCAAAATGACCATGTCCTTATGTCTGTGGCCTTGATGCTAGTTCTCTTCATTGACTTTCTGTATGGTCTCTTAACAATTTGATAGTCTAACTGAACTCAGAGTGGCTGGCTTCCAAGAGACCAAAAGAAGCAGCTGGGCCTTATAAGGACTAGACCCCAAACAGGCATAATAACCCTTCTGCATTCCATTGATCAAAGGAAGTTATGAGGTCATCCCAGGTTTGAGGGGAAAGGAAATGGATTTGACTTGTTAATAATAATATAAGAATGGAATTCTATAGTAGGGAATTGTTGATAGCCATCTTTCAAGGCTGTATACCAAAATGTGATCTTAAAATGGTGAATTAAGGCAATAGATATTTTTTAAAGCTGCCCTGTTATGCCTGTCTGCATACTATTGTCTATGAATTTTATGTCTCAGGAAGGTCAAAGACAATAACCTTGTCTGATTTCTTGGTTCCTACACTGGTAACTATTTCATTCTCCCTCTGACCACCAAGAGAGCCTATAGAGCCTGCTTATCAATCATCAATTTGCAGTGTGCTTTTTATTGTCATTGATGCTTAAATTACTTTAAGAAGAAATCTGTATATATAAAATTCAAAACTGTTCTGACCATGATTTGTAGAAGGATGAACTTCCATTTAAACCCATTTTGGTGCTCTCATCTTCTTTAATAATAATGTGAGTTATTTTTATAAAGTAACAGAACATAATTATTTCCTAGCATTCCTGACTTTTCAAAACAGTATGGTATAGCGCTTAAGAGCATACACACAGGATCCCAGACCTCTAGCTGTTTTCCCTTGTAGAAATTATTTAATCTCTTTATCATGGCTTTATCATATGTAAAATGAAGTTATAATAACAATTTCTATCTCATGAAAATGTTAAGAGGTTCAATTTGTTAATACTTGTGTTTAAATCTACTCAGTAATTACTCTCTAAATGTCAGTTGTTATATGAGTATGTGTAACACATTTTTTATTATAATGTTTTGGCACCTTTATAGCAAGGAAGATGAAAAGTCAGGAATGCTAAGAAATTTTATGATTTTGATTGGTGTATCCTACCTTTGCCTTGGCAATAATCCTAGTGCTAGAACTAGTTAGCTATTAAGTATTAAGTATAGCTAAATTCTATTAAAGGGATCATTTAATGAATTCTCATTTTATTGGTGAGTGCTAAGCAAACTAGTCTCCTCACAAAACTAGCCTACTTATGAAACTAGCATAAAGGGTGTCTGTTTTCTAATATAATGAATATTGATTAAATTCTTCTAGGTCACAGCTTCCCAGCTGTCAGCATCCAATAACAAGTGTTCAATCCTGATGCTAGCAGATAGTGAGAATGAGAAGAGTAAGTGGGTGGGAGTGCTGAGTGAATTGCACAAGATACTGAAGAAAAACAAATTCAGAGACCGCTCAGTCTATGTTCCCAAAGAGGCTTATGATAGCACTCTACCCCTCATTAAAACAACCCAGGCAGCTGCAATCATAGGTATGAATTTATAATATTTATCATATTATAATTGTTTACTGATCTACCTTGTGAGCTGGGGACTGGCTTTCATCTAGGAATCCCCACTGTCCAGCATAACATGAATTATATCATAGATGTTCAATAAATGTTTATTAAGTGAATGAGACCTATTAGATTTTTATTTTTAAGCAGTTACACTAAATACATTCCCTTCTGAAAAAGTGATATTACTAAAAACTAACTTAATAATCCATTTTCTACTTATGTGGATTAGAATAAATTAATTTCTTAAAGCATAATTTTCACATGTAATGCATAAGATACTAATTACCTTGCTAATGTTATTGAGAAATTTTAAAATCATGGTATATAAACACATAATACTCTGCATTAAAAAGCCCTCAGTAAACAGAAGCTTCTGAATCTGGAGATATAAAGTTTTGCTACATTCTTACATACATATCCATCTCTTTTGTTACTTCAATACTTGTGTTAAAATACCTGACACAATCTTTTCCTCCAAAAACAATATATTGAACTGGGCCTAGGGTACTAACAAAGTAGGTTTTTAATTGTTTTTCACAATTTATTGAATAAACAATTACTTATTTTTGTAGGTATTGACATGGGATATTTTTTAATGATTTTTCTATTTTAAAACACATGATAAATTTATCACTGGTAATTTGAAAGAAAATTTCATAGTGTAAATTGTTACTGTATTTTGATTATTTACTTATTTTCATTTTTGCATGTCATTTTCTTATTTCTGTTTTATTCTATTAGCTTTATATGGCTTTTAGCTAATAAAATTGTCTCATATTTGTGTTTTACACAGATCACGAAAGAATAGCTTTAGGAAATGAAGAAGGGTTATTTGTTGTACATGTCACCAAAGATGGTAAGAGAAAACCTAATCATTTTAGAGTAACTTTAAATCATATGTTAGAAAAATTTTGCTCAAGTCTAAATTCTAAAAAGAGTAGAATTTGCTCTTCCATATTCTATAAATGAAATTTTCCAGGCACAATTTGATATATTCTAAATCAAAAGATTATTTTTTAATTTTTATAATTCTCCTAAGCAAGTGTATATTATCTTTCTTATGTCATCTTATTTAGCAGTTCTGCTATATGAACTCATATTGTATTTCAAAGGTGGCACATGGAAAATTTTTTTAGTTTTCCTAAAATTAGTATATTATTATAATTAGAAGGTAATATAAATTATAACAACTATTAAAATATGCTTATTGGAAGTCCTCCCACCCCCACTGTAATACAACAGGTTTATTCGTTCTTTTTGCAGGGTGAGGAGGAGGTGGTTACTGTGTGTTGAACCCAGGAGTGCTTTACTCCAACATTTTTGGTTTGTTTATTTTTGAGATAGGATCTTACTAAATTGCTGAGGCTGGCTTGAACTTATGATCCTCTGCCTCAGCCTCCCAAGACAATGGGATTACAAGCATGCACCACCATGCCTGACCAACAGTTTTTTTCCTACAGAAAAATTAAATGCTGGGTGAAATAGAAAACAATTTAATTTGATATTTATAAATATAATATTCTAAGTTCTAATTTTATATCAAGTTATATCATGACAAATTAATTCATTTAAATGTCACTGGTTTGATACCATAGAAACACTTTCAGAGTACTAGTAGTTATACGGTTACCCAGTTTTTAAAAATAGCAGCCTCACGGTGAAATTCCCTACAGTTTAGTACCAATAAAAAAAGTTTTCTTGGGCTGGGGGTGTGGCTCAAGTGGTAGCGTGCTCGCCTAGCATGCATGAGGCACTGGGTTTGATTCTTAGCATCACATAAAAACAAAATAAAGATATTGTGTCCATCTAAAAAAAAAATTTAAAAAAGTTTTCTTAAAAACTGGCATGCTTTCAATTAAGAACTCTGCCTTGACTGTCAGAGATCTGTGCCAAATTTAATATAGGAAAGTTAAATGATTTTACAATGGGTTTAAATATCTTTCTTTTTCTCTGTAATTTCTGATCTCTTATTCTATGTGTACCTCTCCATCTTTAAATAAAGATGACTTATATACTTCTGAGTATAATTTGGATGACTTATAAAACTATTTTGCATTTGATTTGTTATTTCTGCATGTAGAAATTATCAGAGTTGGTGACAATAAGAAGATTCATCAGATTGAACTTATTCCAAATGATCAGCTTGTTGCTGTGATCTCAGGACGAAATCGTCACGTACGACTTTTTCCTATGTCAGCTTTGGACGGGCGAGAGACAGATTTTTACAAGTTGGCAGAAACTAAAGGGTGTCAAACTATAACTTCTGGAAAGATGCGCCATGGAGCTCTTACATGCCTGTGTGTGGCTATGAAAAGGCAGGTTCTCTGTTATGAACTATTTCAGAGCAAGACCCGTCACAGAAAATTTAAAGAAATTCAAGTCCCATATAATGTCCAGTGGATGGCAATCTTCAGCGAACAGCTCTGTGTGGGATTCCAGTCAGGATTTCTAAAATACCCCTTGAATGGAGAAGGAAATCCATACAGTATGCTCCATTCAAATGACCACACACTATCATTTATTGCACATCAACCAATGGATGCTATCTGCGCAGTTGAGATCTCCAGTAAAGAATACCTGCTGTGTTTTAACAGCATTGGGATATACACTGACTGCCAGGGCCGAAGATCTAGACAACAGGAATTGATGTGGCCAGCAAATCCTTCCTCTTGTTGTAAGATTCTCTTTCTTATGGCTGTCTTTATCTTCCTATCTCCTTCCTTTTCTTTTTCCTTCTACTTCAACTAAACATAGTCATTGTTAATAACAGGTTATGTTTTTAGAATGATTCTGAAAGTTTTCCTTAGTATTAATTATGTTATTTATGTAAAGTAACCATATGTAGTTAAGCCTAAGCAAATAGAGTCAATATTAACATGCACATAATGAAAACTAATCTTTCTATGGAATATTTTACTGAAATGGAATTTTTTTATCTTGTGTTAGTCATTTTTAAATAACTCAAGTAGCTCTTTTCATTGCTCTCCAAAATACAGTGCTCATAAGTATCAGTAGCACATAGGACTTATTCTTGAGAAGTAATTACTAAGTGAATTATTTAGTTAGGAAAAGAAAAATGTAGTTTCTCTAAGAAGTGTTATTCAGTTTTATATGTTTATCTAGATGGGCAGATATTTAAAGTTGCCTATTTCATTTTCAAGAAATATTAAAAATAAATTATTGTATAGTTTTATTGCTACATAATAATTTATTTATTACTGAATACATGCCATGTCACTGTATGAAATAGTGAAGTAGTCTGCCTTCTCAGAGTATAGAATGCAGTAGAAAATATTCATGTCACAACTAGGAGTTTCAGTAGAAAATGAATGCTATAATACCTGAAGTGAGAGTTCAATAGAAGCTTATAATAGGAGTGTCTAACCCAAATTCTTTTGTTTGCAATGGAAGATTCTTGAGCATGTTTGAATGCTGAAAGGAAGAAACCATTAGGGAACCACTTGGAGAAGTTGACAATCTGGGAAATACAGAAAACAGTCAGATCCCCAAGAAGGCAAATGAGGATAAATTCAGAACACAGGTGGAAGACTACTCAGAAAAGGAGGAGTGAAATCTCTCCCATTGTAATGTTAAGACAGGAATAAGAAGGAATGGTGGGAATGAGTCCTGTCAGTTCTAAAGGTTCTGTTAAAAAAAAAAAATTAGAAGGACTATTAAGGCTTATTACAGAAAAATTAGGAAACCTAGATTTAAAAAACAAACAAAAATAACCTATAATTCTACCCACTCAGATTTAATTTGTGGCCCAAGGGGTGGGAAGTGTGCCAGGGATTGTACATCAAATTTAACTATTTTTAAAGTCTTATTTCTCCTGGATGTCAGATTCAACTACTTTCAATGTTTTATTTTTTCTAACATATATGCTCTCATTTATAGCTTAATACATAGAATGAATACTGTTTGTAACTGAGTTCCATAGTTCAAAATATCCTAACATGAAGTAAAAGTTGGGATATCTGACTTTTATTTATAACTTTGCCAATAATGCAGTTCATAACCTTAGTTTACACACTCATTTACTGTCTCTTTGCTCATATTGCCATTTATTAATATTCTTCCAAGAAATATTTATTGAATATCTACACTATTCATGTAATTGTGCTCAGGTAATTTATCATACATTCATAATTGGGGGTAGAACACTTACCTGAAGATTTCTCTACTTTGTAAGTTTGTTTCACTGTCAATAACTTAACTACTTTAAGAGTCAAACACTTTTAACATGTAATGAAATTGCTTTATTAGCTAGATGTTAATAGAATTCTTCTGTAATAAAGAGTTCCCTTATAATTTATGTTCTCTTTATTTCAAAAATATTGTAATGTGGTTTTTCTATGATAACAATAGGCTTTTGGTGGGATTCTACTCTACAGTTATTTAAGACAGAATTCTCAAAATTATTTGGGCTTAGTAATTTAAAATAATCAGTAGGTTGTCCCTTCCTTTCCTTTTCCCAGGTTACAATGCACCATATCTCTCAGTGTATAGTGAAAATGCAGTTGATATCTTCGATGTGAATTCCATGGAATGGATTCAGACTCTTCCTCTCAAAAAGGTAATTTGGCATTAAAATATGAGCTGTGCTGGCTAATTTTTGATAGGTAGCTAAACTCCATACTATTCATATTACATTTAGTTTCTCTTATATAAAGTCTGATTGTGAACTTGATGAGCAACTAGAATATATCATACAATCTAAAATGTCAATGTTATCATCTACTTTGAGATTAAAGAGCTTCAGGAGAGTATGTGATTATTATTAATCATAACTTTTTCACATAATGGTATGCAATGTTTAATCCTGCAAAGACAGATTTCATGGATAGGGAAGTTATTCAACTTGGAACTGAAACTGTTTAGTTGAGTCATGATTTAGAAATAGAAGTGTTCCATATTACTAATAAAACATAATATTTTCCCTTAATATTCCTCTATTGTTTCCATAACAAAATTTTTTACAAGTATAGAACTACTGTTTTGCAAAAATAAGATTACCTCTAGATAGGGAAGAGAGTGGGAGGGAAAGGGAGGGAGAAGGGGAATTGCATGGATTATGAAAGGAGACCCTCGTCATTATACAAAATATATGTATGAAGATGTGAGGAAAAAAAAAGAATAGCGTTACCTTAGATTAGATAGAGAGAAGTGATGGGAGGGGAGGGGAGGGGTTGGGGGGATAGGAAGGATAGTAGAATGAAACAGACATTATTATTACTGTGTGTATATATGTGACTGCATGACCAATATGATTCTGCAACCTGTACACTCAGAAAAATGAGAAATTATATCCCATCTAATTCAAATGTATGATATGTCAAGGTCATTGTACTGTCATGTGTAACTAATTAAAACAAATTTAAAAAAAAAAAACAAAAGTACTATTTTCATATAGACGTATATAGTATATTTACAATGTACAACATTGGTAAAATGATAGTTGATAGGACTAGGTGAAACAAAGTAGCCAAGATCATATTTTATAATGTGTCCAATTTTAAACCACATCAATAGTTGAAAACAACTCTTGTAAGTATTGCCACATTATATAAAGCAACTACAACTTTGTCCTCTATTTTATAAATCTTGACTGACTCTACTAAGTTTTCTGGGGTTTTTTTCCATGTAATTTGCAATATATATGTTATCTTTATGAAGCATATTAATAAGCTAATCACTTGTGAACCCATCTTCCTTTTTGTTGATACCTCAACCTTTCCCTCAGAAAGTCAATATCCTGAATGTCATGCTTATTGTCCCTATGCTTTCCTGAAAATACAGATTTTTGCACATTTAAATATTCCTAAACAATATATTATTTAGTTTTGCTTGGTTTTGAGATCTATTAAAATATTGTGATATATTGTCACTTTTTACCTTTGTTTAACTCATTTACTGGGCTTCAAAGATCTATACCTGTTGCTACCTCTACTGTGTAATTCATTGTGTAAATTCATTGTGTAAAATAGCCTACTTGCTATTTATTCATTCTCTGATTAACAGACATTTTAATTATTTTCTAGCTTTTGCTATTGTGAATTGCTGCATATTATCTGGGGTAGATATGCAAGAGTTTAAGTCATATACCTAGGAATGGAATTGATGAGATTCTTACCCACATCTTCTCTAATACCTGTTGTTGTCAGCATTCATAGTTTCATAAATGGTTTCATAAAATGGTATCACATTGCAGTATTAATTTGCATGCCCCAGTTAACTGTGTGGTTGGGAGTCCCCCTTCTATATCTATTCATCATTCGTATTTCCTTTTTTGTGAAATGCCTGGTCATGTTTTTTGCTCACTTTTTCCATCTTGTTGATTTATTCAACTTCTTTATGTAATATGTCCTGTTTTAGTAATGCATGGTAAATCTTGTTCATTTGTGACTTATGGGTTTATTTTTCAGAACAGAAGTTATTGTTTACGAATTTTACTGTAGTTAAATGTACTTTCCTGTTCTTTAGGTTTGTTTTTTTTCTATTTAAGAAACTTTTCCTAGCTTAAAGTCATAAAGATATAACCTTTGTTTCCCTCCAAATGTTTTGAAATGTTGCTTATTATATGTCTATCTTTAATCCATTTGTAATTGATTTTTTTTGCTTGTAGTATGAAATAGGGATTCTGTTTTATTTTGTTGTTGCTCCATTATCATTTATTAACAATTCTTCCTTTTCCCAATCATCTGTACTTTTATCTTTATTATATGTAGATCAAGGATTTGATGATAAGAGCTCATAAAGCAACTATTGATATCTTCTTAATGTAATTATTTGGTCACTGATAGCTTTAAAAGGTCAAACTTAAGGTTTAAGTGTATTTCTACTTAATTTTATTTATTTGTCCAGGATATTCTTTCTTTAAAATGTTATCATTATAAGTTTGTTTGTCCAAATTAGATATAATATCTTCACAATCAGAATTATTAGCATTTTGGGTTTTTTCTGAAAGGACTGTATTTTGAAGTATATAAATAAAAGATCTTAATAATATGATTTATGTACAGGCCAAAAGTTTTATGATTTAATTTATAAAAGTTTTGTTGAAGTACTTATTTTATTTTTTATTATTTCAGGTTCGACCTTTAAACAGTGAAGGATCTTTAAATCTTTTAGGATTGGAGACAGTTAGATTGATATATTTCAAAAATAAGATGGCAGGTAAGAAAACAGAACATTAATAGTAATAGCTTCAATGGAAATATTATTTTTCTTCTGACTGCCCAATGTCATATGAATAATGAGTGCTAGAGTACAGATTTAAAATCTTACATATCTTCCTCTAGAGTGTGTGATCTTGGCCACATACTGTTAATATATCCAAGACAGATTATTGGGCAAAAGTGATTCTATTTAAACTGTCATAGCTGATTTAACAAAGTATTTCATTCTGACATGCCTTGTTATTTTTCTGGGGTATACCTAGGTAAGCAGAGAAAGTGTAGCTGAATATACTTCTGTACTTAAAATACCATAGAACTTAAACAAAATTTGTGGCATTAAAATTAAGGACATTCATTCAGAATTCCATCTGGGGACTTCAGGAACCCATCTTTTGCCAATGCAAAATGCTTAGTACTTCTAAAGTGCTGATGACAACTTAGAAGCAGAAAAAAGAGGAAAGTCATAAAAGTGCCTAGAATCAGAAGAGGGAGCAGGAACCCTGGGGGTTATAAGCATTTGGTCAGTGACCAAGTAGTAAGCTGAGATTGTCAAACCTGTGATTAATAGACCATATGTAAAATGCCATAGACTATACATGTAGAATTAAATGTTGTTTGCCATTAATGTGAGGCAAAACAGTTAAAATCTCACTTTTAACAAATAGTGTGCTTTTTTTCTATATAATAAAATCATTCTTATGTCAGCAACAAATATTTTCCTAACAGGTATTCATAAATCTCTGCTCTTTTGTGGTAGAACTATTTAATGAAGAGGCACTTAATGATATATTGTGTATTTAAAGTAATATTTGAATTTACCTAAATATAAGTAAAAACATTAGCCTCAAGGAAATGTTAAAATGTTTATACCTGTTATCTGAAGGTCATGAGATTATCTTCTTAATGCTTTTGCCCCTCATATTCCTTCAATAGTTTTTTATGTTCTAATGTAAAAGAAATCCATCAAAAGCTTATGTTTATTGTTTTTTGTTTGTTTTGATTTTAAATAATGAAATAATTGTTTGGTTTGTGGTTCAGTGCTTTGTTAATAGCTGTCTGTGTTAAAATGGTATACCTTTATGGTATGATTTGATAAAGGACATTCAAATTTTAGGCATGATTCTCAATCAGCTTGATTTACCATGAAGCTAATGAAACTTAAGTTTCAGGTTTCCAAGACCCTGTACTTAATTTTGTGTTCTGTTTCTTAGAGGAGCTTCACATATTTGTATAAAATTGGATCCACTCTGTTCTCACCGTATTTAATGCTGGTCATTAAATTTCTTTATATCCATGTTGTATCTGTAGGACAAAACCTATTCCACATGTCTCTTCCCATGCTTTCATCTTTCTGCTTCAGGCTAGGAGTGGAGGTAGAACTCTGAGAAAGGAGACGTTACAGGTTTCAATATCTTATTATTTGAGAAAGGAAGGAAATCCCATTTCCAAGAGGTTCCTTCTTTTTTTCTCTCTTGCTTTTCCCTTCTGCAAAAGGGACAAATGCTCCTTTGCCTTCTGGCTGCCCCATGTCTCTTGTCACCACCATAACTCAAAATTCCTGCTTTATCCTCATAATTCTCATATTCTAGAATGATGTCCCACATTCTCATCTACATTAAAGTCTATCCTTTTAATATTTGTTGTTGAGAAAATGATCTGATTAAGCAACATTATTATACGACAAGGAATGTGTTGCTTTTGTGGTAATTGTCTATTTTGGCTTGCCTTATAGGCCCATTTGCCTTCTTTCAGCCTTTTTCTTCTTGCTTCAGCTTTACAGTGTCAAAAACTTGTGAAGATTGGCTTTTTTTCCTTTTTCCTTATCTTATTTAGATAATGGCATACCCTGCCTGCCATGTTATATGGATAACAGTTGTCTTTTTACAAAAGACACAAAGACACAAAGCCCATCAGGTTTTTAGAGTTCCCAGTTTACAGTTGCTTCCTTCCAGATGTTAAAATTGAAATGGGACAAGATGGTCACCGGGTTGCTAGGAGTATACAATTATATAGTATCCAGCTTCAAGATAAGAAGATCAGAAGATTAGAATAGTGACAGATCCTTACCCTTCAAAAGGAGGATAATGGGAACACAGACCTTTTCTTATTCCACATCTCACAGGAAATTTTTATTATGTAAAAATAATTTTAATTATTTACATAAATAGCTTGCTATTTATGCCTGATTACACATTAATAATAGCATCTTTTGGGGGCTGGGAATATAGCTTAGTGGTATAACTCTTGCCTACCATGGGTTCTATCTTCATCACTGCACACAAATTAAAATAAATACCGCAAAACCCCCATAATAGCAACTTTTTAATATCCTAAGCTACTAAACCCACTGATAGGTGGGTATGAGAGAAAATAGTATAGAAATATTGGGGGTGAATTGGCTGGTCAAAGGGACAGGACATCAAGGAATTACAGTTTTCTTCTAGCAAAATTGTGTCATGTTTATAATGAAATAGAAGTGAAAATGTAAAATGTATTTTGCTAGTTATGTTTAATTTTAATATTATGTATTTTTTATGGCACTAGGGATTGAACCTAGGAGTGTTCTACCTCTAAGCTACATCCCCACATTTTATTTTTGTATTATTATATGAAAATAATATTTACATAATACTACATAAATATAAGCATATATATTTTTACATGTCCTATTGAAAATTATTGCTGCCAGGTGTGGTGGTCTATGCGTATAATCCCAGCAACTTAGAAACTGAAGCAGGAAGATCCCAAGTTCAAAGCCAGCCTGGGCAACTTAACTTAGCAAGTCTCTGTCTGGCTGGGGATCTAGCTCAGTAACAGAGTACTCCTGGGTTCAATTCCCAGTACCACACAAACACTCTATTATTGCTTATTTACTATGATTATCAATGCATGACTTTTAAAATTCAGAATTACATATACTTGTATAATTGTGCTACCATGGAGATTAATGGCTAAAAAGCAATTTAGCAATTTAAACAGCACTATTTTTTAAAAAAACAGAAGGGGATGAACTGGTGGTTCCTGAAACATCAGATAATAGTCGGAAACAAATGGTTAGAAATATCAACAACAAACGACGTTACTCCTTCAGAGTCCCAGAAGAAGAAAGGATGCAACAGAGGAGGTAGATATATAATTTGTACTTATTGTCCATCTATGCTTCTAGCATCTGAGGGGCTATCTGCTAATAATACTATACTTGATTTGGAAAGACAATTTGGTATCTGAAAATCTATCATTCATAAATGATATCAAAAACTGCAGGACTAGGAGTATAGCTCAGTGATGAGAGTGTGTTTGCCTAGCGTGTGCAGGGCCTTGGATTTGATCCCCAGCACCACAAAAGGAATTTAAGGGGGAAAAAAAAAAAACCTAAGTGCAATTATGACTGTAACCTCTCAGTGTCATTTTAATTAATAATCTCAAAGTTATGTGAATACACCGAATTAAGCACCATATTTTGATCCTCTTAGGTAGGTTTATGAAAGTAATAATTTCGGGGATGTATACTTTTTTGCAGTACAAGCTTAAATCATATCTGTGCATATAGTAAACCTGTATATGTTTAAGAAATCCACATTGTTTTCTTCATGAGCAAACAGAAATAGGCATATAGCATTTTCAGCTACATTTAAAAACATTTCTAAAATGTTATAAATTATTTAAAAGATACCCATGAAATGTTGAGAATTATCTGTAAAAATCCAGCAGAAGTTCCTTGATATCTAAATATGAATAGACCTGTTGGGGGGTTGGATCTAAAGCTCACTTGCCTAGTATGAGCAAGGCCCTAGGTTCAATCCCCAGTACTAAAATATAAATAAAAGGATCCTCCCTCTTTCCTACTCCAAATCATAATATCTTTTATTTAAAATTAAAAACATTTTAAGGAATTGAATTATTAATTGAATCTATTCTGTTATTCTAATTATATCTTTATTAGCATGATTTAATCATTTTAAAGACAAAAATAAAGTATGTGTAATTTTTTTCTTATCTAGATTTACTGTGTAAAAAATATTTACATGGGTTTTTTTTTTTTTTTTCCTTACAGGGAGATGCTGCGGGATCCAGAGATGAGAAATAAATTAATTTCTAACCCAACTAATTTTAACCACATAGCCCACATGGGACCTGGAGATGGAATACAGATTCTAAAAGACCTACCTATGGTAAGAGAAATGAATGAAGAGTGAATATTAATGTGAATGGGGTGATAAGTAAGTGGGAGATATATGAGGGAAAATACATATATATCAGTATATATATGTAAACAGGTTTCACAGGACATATTAGTATAATGAGGAGATGGTTCTCTTATTATATTACACTATGTTAAGATACATGATGATATATATACCTGATGAGAAAAGCATAAATTTGGAAATCTGTCAAAAAACAAATAAATCAAGTTCTTATTTAGTTCTATACCCTAGAAATTTCTCCCTAAATCTGTTGTTGGTGGTGGGAAAAAAAAAAAAATACCTGGTATGTTTGGGGACATTATAAATCAATTTCAGAACTTGGTTACCAGATCACTAAAATTTCACTAAGTTCCGTACAGGCATTTGGCCTTTTTTCCCCTTAAGATCCATATTAGCTTGTCAGTAATGGTCACACCTCTCAGCTAACTGTGAAATTAAATCTTTTTGCCCAATTACAAACTGGTCACTTGTACATAAAAAGTACAACATAGAAAAACGGTTGTGTTTTTAACAATATGAAGATCAGATTCTCAGATCTATTGAAATTAAAGATATTAGTAGAATTAGCTGATTATCCTGGCTCTGTTCTTAACACTTCAGTACCATATATACTCAGCAACTTATAAAACTTTAATATTGCCCTTCTGATCAATGGAGATGGCAGTAGAACTTTGCACATATTTTTAAATATAGTTTTTATTTTATGGCAATTTGAGAGATGATTTATAAATCTCTCCCCAAATCTCCCACTAAGGAAATCTGTCTCAACCATGTTACCCAACAGTGCTATGATGGAAGAACTGAGAAAATAAATAATATAGTTTCTGCACTCAAATGTTTTAACATAAAAAAATAATTTAATAAAGGAAATTTTTACATTTATTTCATATGGGGAGGAAAAAATGCTTGCATGCACTTGTATCTGAGTACTTTGTAGTAAGTAAGCCCAACTAATCAGCTGGCTCTGCTTTTTCTGCTGTTATTTTTTTTCATCATTAAGACATTATATTAAGCATGCAGCCAGGTATGGTGGGGCATGCCTGTAATCCCAGTGGTTGGGGAGGCTGAAGCAGGAGGATTGCAAGTTCAAAGCCAGCCTCAGCAACTTAGTGAGGCCCTAAACAACTTGGCGAGACCCTGTCTCAGATAAATAATAAAAAACAGGCTGGGGTTGTGGTTCAGTGGTTCAATCCCTGAGTTCAATTCCTGGTACCAAAAAAAAAAAAAATAGAAAAAGTATGTAAAAACTAGATTACATATAACCTTTGTATAGAAGTAAAAAAAAAAAAAGGTCAAGCACATTAAATATTAAAACTGTTCTACTTGTTTATCATATTTAAAAGTTATACTCTTTTTTTCAACATTTACCTGGAGTAAGATCTCAAGACTTCTCTCCGTTCTTTTCCCATCTTGAACATTTGCTTCAAGTCCTCAGCCTGGTTTTCTTTTAGTATCAGAAGTAAAAGTAACATAACCACTCAGTCCCAAGCCTCTTGGTCCCCTCTTCCCATAGAAGTTACAATATCAGACGCAAAATATCCTAAGAGAGAGTTTTTTTAAATTATGATAAACAGTTGAAATGTGAGTATATTTATAGCTTATATTTGGAAGATCAAATGCTATGTATTATTTTAATTAAATAATTTAAAAAAATTTGCAATTTACTTTGTCAGTAGTTTTGTTCAATATATGGTACATAATTAATGTTATGGAGGGATAGAGGCATGTATATTTCAGACGCATGTATTGCAGAGCAACACACAAGCTAATACAAAATTATTTCAGTAAAGTTTTGATAGGTTATTATTCTTTTAAAATTAAAATCTCTTTCCTTTTGTTCCATTTTGGTGTACCAAAGAAAAATATTTATCATGTCTTATATTCCAACAATGCAGCAAGAAGAATTATAGAAAATTTTTGTAGAAATTCTATTATATCCTATTTTCCTTAAGATTATATCAATATTCAATAAGATGTTACTTTGCCATCAGATGATAGCAAAGTCTCTTTGCTAATGTACCAGCATTCTTTCAGACCCTCATATACAATATGCACCCTGATTTCAAGTATCATAAGAAATTTTATATCAAAGTATTTGAAAAATTCTTTACTTTTTCTCCCCTCACCCTTCCACCACTTAAAATAAAACCTATATTTTACTTTTTGTTTCTTTTTTTTTTTTTTTACTATTCAAAACAAGTAACATTTTCCAAAGATTCATCCCCAATTCATTCCATAACACATGATCTTTGGTGCTGACTACTGACTCTAATTAGACCTTTTGGTTTTCAGGGTATATGGTCACCTGATTTTGTTAATCTGTGGCCACCTTGTTGGTTCTTTCAGGCATTAACACAAGTGACTTTTTGCCCTCCCTATTCAATCCAGTTTTTAATGTTCCTTCCTTTCCTTTAATGTTTTCTTTCCATGTAAGAGCTTTTTTCCAGGACAGAAAATTTGGTGTAAATTTTTGAAACCTGTTTCTTCACATGTATATGTAGTATGCATCAAAGATTTTGTGTGTTTGAATTCTTATTCTTCGTGGTTATATGTTATTTTCATATGAATGTTCTCATTCATTACCAAAAGACATCTGAGCTGGGGCTTTTGATTGACATCCATTCAGTTACCTAACTGGTATTTCTTGAGCACATATTATGTTTCTGGGACTATGCTTATTTGGGGCTAGACATTAGTAAACTATAATAATTTGCATGTCTGGAAATAATAATAGTTTTCATGTCTGTATGTTTTGTACATATCTTCCCATTGAAAAGCTTATGATCTTTTCATGTTCTCGGATTTTAATATGTTCTTTTCACTGAAATGGAACTATAAAAAAATTTTCCAAAAAATACAGATGAATTAAATTCAGCTATTAACATATAAGTACTTTCACGAATTGTTGCCATCAGTGCAAAGAACATGTGCCCAAGACATTTTTATGTTTCAACTCATTCAAATCAGAATTGCTTTCCTATGAAGTATTTATGAGCTTAGAAAGTTTATTAAATGTCTTTAAAAGCTTAATTCTGTTTCTTTCGTACTAAATGATCCTGAAATAGAATGTGTTTATTTTGTAAATATGGAAGCAACAGTAAGGCTATGGTCATTTTACTTTCTTATTTACTGTATCAGATGCAAACCTTTTTTTTGTAACTTAGCCAAGACTATTCCTAAAGTTGTTAATAAAGATAAAACATCTAGTTCAATGACTTCTTTGGATTTTAAGAAGTAATTTTGCTTCTTTGACTAGGAATGTAGCTCAGTGGTAGAGTATGCCAAATATGCACAAAGCCCTGGCTTTCACCCCTAGGACTGGTACTCCCCCAAAAGTAATTTTGCTTTTTAAAGTCAAAGTTACATGTGTTATCAATCAGTAGGTTTTTTTTTTAAACCACCTTGAAAAATATTAATTTTCCTTATGTCTCAAAAGTAAAACCAATACTTTATGTAGAATCCATTCTTTTAAACCTAGGTAATTTCTGAGATGTTTTTAAAAAGCAAGTTGTCTCAACTCATGAAAATGCAAATTCCATGTTAGAGTCAATCAGCATTCTCTCCAGCACATCTCTCTCCCTGCTTTTAATAAAGTGATTGTGTTTTTTCTTTTTAGTATTACATTACTTCATTTTTTAAAAATATACTGGAACACTGAAGGGAAGATTTACCCTTGTTAAAGACTAACTGCTTTTGGGGGGTGTCTAAATGGAGATAAATTTGGTTGCTTAAAGGTAAACCAATAATTAGTATATCCTATAGTTACACACTATTTTTGTTACAGAGAAATAAGATCAGTAAAAGCAAACACATGTCAAAACTCTAAAAACACAGCACTGGGAAATGGTTTTAAATCTCCCTCACACCAATACTGGGGATTGAACCCAGGGGCACTCAACCATTGAGCCTTATTCCTAGCTCTTTTTATTTTTTTATTTTGAGACAGAATTTCACTAAGTTACTTAGGGCCTCTAAATTACTGAGGCTGGCTTTGAGCTCACTATCCTACCTCAACCTCCCAAATCGCTGGGATTATAGATATGCACCACTGCACCCAGCAAATGGTTTTGAACATGTCCAATTAAAAGCTGTTGAAGATTCTCTTGTTCTTCCTTTCAGCATTTCTTACCTTTTTCTATCCTTAATACTTTTGGTAAATATTTGTCATATTTTCCTTGTATCACATAAAAAAAACTGAACTAAACTCTGAAAGTCTTGCATTTCTAAAAGTTTAACTTCTACTCATTTAACAATAATAATTTAAAATTTTTTAGGAGAATGATCTTCTGCAAGTCAGCTATTTAAATAACTGCAAAAGGATTACAAAAAATTAAACTTTCTAAGACCTAAAAGTATTTCATTAAGTATTCAATTCTGATGTAAGATATTACTACATTTTTTATATATGCATGTTATCTGAAATGTCACATACAACTCCATTTTCATCACCTTACCACCTTTTTTCTTCTTTCTGTTGTTTTTGATAGCCAGGTTTCCCTTATCCATCCCCTCATCATCACTCCGGTCTGATCTCCTCTCCGATCAACTTTGAGCACATCTATCACATGACTGTTAATTCTGCTGAAAAATTTCTCTCTCCTGATTCCATAAACCCTGAATATTCCCCGTCTCTACGCTCTGTCCCTGGTACACCAAGCTTTATGACTCTAAGGGTATGAACAGCTGAGTCAGGTGTTAACTTGTACTAACCATGTATGGATTTCCTATTGCCTGGCCTAATAAATAGCATTGCCAATATGAAATGGTTTCCTTTGGCCTATTTCTCTTCTGCCAAATTTCTCTTACTTTTTTATTCCTCCTCTATTGATCTTACTCTTCTTTCTCCTCCTGTTCTGTTTTGTTTCTTCAGAGGACAAAGATGGAGGAACAGGGAGGGTTTCATTTTATTTTTGAAATTATATTGGAGCTTTATCTATATTTATTAGAATTTCCTATTGTAGGTATTTTCTATTATAGATACCACTATAAAAAAGTAGCCTTGGGGCTGGAGTTGTGGCTCAGCGGTAAAACGCTCACAAGCAAGGCACTGGGTTGGATCCTCTGCGCCTCATAAAAATAAATAAATAAAATACAGGTATTTTTTTTTAAGTAGCTGAGTGTACCTTTATTCTTTTCAAACAAACCGAAAAAGGTGTCCTTAATTTTTGAAGGAGCTATAGCTCATTCTCCTGTAACCAGATCAATTTGGAGAAATTTTTTTTATATTTGATGAATTAAAGTCTCAACAGAGCCTGTCTACACATTTCTATCTACAATAAAATTCATTTTGAAAGGCTTAAAAATCTCCAAAGAAAAAGTATAATATTATTAATAAGTAACAGGAAAAAAATCCAAAAATTTTTATATAACTTTAAGTTGTTGATATGCATTTAATTCTAACCAGGATCCAAGGTAAGAAAAGCTAACCAAAGAGAGAGAATAGAAAAGGATACTGTTCTCCATCCCTTAATTCAGCCCTATGTCTTTGTTACCAGTGACTTTGCAGTGAGATGGAAAGTGGCTGTTAAACTTAATGTCTGTATTTTTATCAAGTAAAATATGCTTGTACTGACTTCAAGTGAAGTTAATTTTACAGATAATAAAATATTTGGATTGTATCATGCAAATTCATTTCCCATAATGTCCCTAGCTTAGAAAAATCATAGCATTGACTTTTTAATTTGTATATATAGTAATCTTCTAATAAGAAAATTAACTATAAGGTAAAAAGTATAATTTTTGTTTGTATTATAAAATTATTCAAAGTTACGTATTAATGTCATTGACATTAAATTATAATGTCATTTAAGTGCCATTTGATAAAATTAGCCATAATAAAATAAGCCTTGATTTGCTTGTTAACAGGTTTCAGGAAGTGGATTCCAGTGGAATGCTATATAAATTAATCAAAAACTTCTTATACTAAGTTAGTTTTCTTTGCATAGAACACAGTTTTCTTTGCGTAGAACACTGTACCATCAGTTTTACCCTGATCTTAAACATGTTTGTAACTAAAAGACAAAGGTTTCTTGTCATTTCCTAGTGAAGTTTATTTAATTTTAATTGACTGAATGATAAGATGGGCTTTTTTTTACAAAACATTTTTTATGTGTATCATTCCTTTGTAATTTAAACATTTTGTGTTATTAAGTGGCTAATGGATTTCATAAACTTAATCTTCCACCATTTTTCTAGGTTAGGCTTATTTTATAGCAAAGGACACCAGTGTGTCTTGATTCATAGAGAAGACAAATAACAAAATGCACAGCTGGGTACTGATATTTCCATCTCTTTTGAGCTTTACTTGGCTGCCTTTTGTACATGTTGTTTGCATCTTACAGGGCTGCTCTTTCCTGTATGTGTGAATGTTGAATTGCTAGCATTGACTGTCTCGGTTTTATATATTTTATTTCTTGGATTTGAAAAAAGGTAAAGCATTTGCTTTAAATAAATAGCACACTAAGAATTACATGGACTTTGCAAATTAAGTATGTGAAACAAAATGGCAGTGGTTGAATTTGGGGCCAACTAGCCAGCCATACAAGGACTATGTATATTTCTTCAAAATGTATGAATTAGAGTTTATCAAGTAGCATTAGTTCTTGTTTTTCTGACTGCCAGCCTTGGCCCTAATGCAGTTGTTTTGCCATAACCTTCTCAGGTTTTTCAGGTGCTGATAGGAAAGCTCAGTACTACATACTCATTCAGAGCCATAGCCTCTCTTTAGAGTCCCACAACTACATGTTAACTGGAAATTCAGGTTCCAGTTTTAGACTTTTACTATAACCAAAAATGTTTTTTTTTTTTAGCTACATCACTACATTTCTTCATTAATTCTTTATTAAACTCAAAAGGCTTAAGTACTTATGCTCATTTTGTTACATTCTATGTTGAATTATTTCACCTATGCCATATTATAGCATAGAAGACAACCATCTTTTGCTAAGTGTTAGCATATAAATCAGATTATTTGAAGAACTGCCAAAAACTGTTATTCTGTCTGAATGTTACAAATAAAATGTACTTTATATCTTTAAAGCTCATACACATACCTGCACCCACATATGCTTATAATATCAAACCATTGTTAACTAGAGCACTTATGTGTTCTGAAGAAAGAATCATAATTTGAAATTTATGAATTATATTACTATCCAAATTAATCATAGTACTTGTAGTAGAATATTGGGATTGCAGATATAATCCATTTGTTTATTCAGTAAATCTTTTCAGTGCCTGTTTTAAGTGCTGAAGTTAAATGTGGTCATAATTGTAGTCAGTATAAGAAATGACAAGATGGCTAGAGGAATGATGCTACAAACAGCCATGATCTGCAGGCTTCCTAAACAACTAGGGAAAATTGGACAATCACCCCAATCAAGGTGAAGTCCCCAAATGGGGGCATTTTTAATTAGGGGATGCCTTCCAGCTGTGTTGTCTTTGTTTTCTGTTTAAAGGGCAGGTGTGAGAACGTTCAGTGAAATAGATTAAATGCAATTTAAGCAGTTAGGCCTTTTGATGAAACTTTTAAAGTAACCAGATAAGATAGGTTTTTGTTAGGTAACATACCATAAACAGTGTACAATTCTCTGATGTATTTTCTTCTTTAAGCTACCAAAAGAAGTGATATTTCCTGAGCCCTACATGATTAAAGAAGATTTATTGGATTTGAAATTATAAAATGAGGCAGATAATGATAACATTTTAAAATATAATAATTAGTTTTGTGTTCTGCCTTTGGAGGGGAAAAAAAACACAATATAGTACAGTCAGCTTTTCCAAAAAATTTCATTGGCCAGAAACACCAAATTGTTAAATAGTATCTGGTGAGTTCACAGGAGACTTTTTTGGTCTCTTAGGATTTCATTATTAGCAATACCTTTCCAGTCCATGAATGTTTCCTTTATAATCAGGAAAAAGCAAATGCTTTTAATGAACTAATTAGTATTTAGAGAGCTACCAGTTAATAAATGTATTTTCCAATCACTTTTTGTTAATGTTAGTGACTTTGATTATTGTGTTAAGTTCTAAGTGTAGAATTGATAAAGGAGCACCAGAAGTAAAGTGAACCTGTAACAGCACATGAAGAGAGCCATCTCTTTTCAGAGGAAAGTAGTACATCTGATTCCGTTAGATTAATTAGCTTCACTTAACAAATTGATCCTTTGGTAAAGTTACAAAATTTTAATTTTTTACTACTTTTTAATGTTGAATTTTTTATTGCATTTTAGAGTTGTAATCTTACCTAATGTGTATAAAATTTGTGATTGCCCCCTTCCAACAGAATCACTATTTTGATGTAACTAAAAGGTAGCTTAATAGTGATACTGCAGATGGCCATTTAAAGATACTAGTAAAGCAGAGGGAGGAACAGCACATATTGGAACTAGGCCTTGGAGGGACTTTCCTTTGACTAGTAAAATTACTATAATCCTCAGAAAATCCCATGAACCCCAGTATGGTCAAGGAAACTGAGGCTCAGGGTTGAGTCACCCTGAAGTCTGCCATCAGTAGGCTGTAGAGCACAGATGTGAGCAGTCTGTTTCATCCCTGACCTGTGCTCATTAACTCCCAAGCTGCCTCTGTCTTGTTGCGATCAGCCAGTGAAGAGAAAGGGAAATCTACTGAAAGAAGACTAGATGATTTTCTTTATATAAATATATATATACACACACATACATATTTCTGTTTGCCAATTATAAGAAATCTAGGGGCTGGAGTTGTGGCTCAGCAGTAGAGCGCTCACCTGGCACGGGTGAGGCCCTGGGTTTGATCCTCAGCACCACATAAAAATAAAATAATGGTATTATGTCCAACTACAACTAAAACAAAAATGTTTTTTTTTAAAAAAAAGAAAAGAAATCTAGACTCTTTGCATCAAAAATGCTTGCAGGAGTTGAAACTATGTCCACAAATAGAGAAGGCATTATGAATGGTAAAAGAGCTATGGTGTAACATGGTAGATATAGTTTACCTATTCTAGGATTTGTGAAGAATATTGAAATATTTTCCCCTCTTCTGGCCTTTGGTCAGCCCCAGCATTCTTTCCTTCTACTTTGAAAGGGTTGGGGCCAACAGGGAGTTATTCACACTGACATTCCAGAGTCTCACCAGGTTGTTATATTATCATCCATCCATCTTTCTTTCTTTCTTTCATCATCTTTCTGACTCAGAGAATAGAGGTGACTTGGAGTGTGAACATGTGAATGGCACATTCAGTCTCAGGTTAACAGAGCATTTTGAGGCTGGGGTTGTAGGACAGTAGTAGAGTGCTTGCCTAGCATGTGTGACGCACTGGGTTCGATCCTCAGCACCACATAAATATAAATAAATAAAATAAAGGTTAAAAAATATAGAGCATTTTCTTGACAAAATTGTAATTTTAATTGACTTTCCTCCAAATTGATTTATTTATTTGGTGTTCCTAAGCAAATAAAAATCTCTTTATCTGCAAATGTCCATGTAATTCTATACTTCACTGTCATGTTTAACCATATAACATTTACTTACCATTTTCACAACCCAAAAAATTATTTATTAATAAGTATTTCAGTATGCATAAGTACTTTTACCTGATTGGGATGAAATTTATTTCATATTTAATTACTTTTGTGGGTGGGAGGGATTATGGAATCTGCTGTATCTTACTCTATATCGTTCTGGTCAAGATATTTTTATTTCTTGATAACTATATTGAAAAGTATACATTTCTGCAGAAAATGTTTCTTTCTGGCTGAAGAATATACCTTTGTTTTATTTTCAGAACCCTCGTCCTCAGGAAAGCCGAACAGTATTCAGTGGCTCAGTCAGTATTCCATCAATCACCAAATCCCGCCCTGAGCCAGGTCGGTCCATGAGTGCTAGCAGCGGCCTGTCAGCAAGTAAGTGGATCAGGCTATGGGCAAATGCTCTATGGCCAGGTAGCTTTGGGGCTGCCTCCTGTCCTATAATTACCACAAGTGACATGCTCTCACTTTCTCATGCCCAGTGTGTTCTACAGTTGTAACAATGTCTCAGATCCTGAGACATTACTTAATGCTTAGTAGGCACAAATGCAGTTGTTAAAAAAAAAATAGTCCTGGAGTCCTTCTAGAATGTGCAGGCCATCTGGGAGACAGACAAATAGGACTACAAATTACGGTGGTAACTCTGCAGAAAATAAAAGGCACAGTAATAGAGAGTAACAAGGTATAGCTATCAGGGAGGAATTCATACTTAGGATAATTAGGAAAAATCACATCACTTGCTAAAGCTGGGTCGTGTTTAAGTAATGTTAATTACTGAAAAAAAAAGGCCAGTGCAGCTATATGGTAGTATAGTGAGTGACAAAAATAGAGGAGGAGAGAAATGGACAAATGCCAGATTGGCAGCCTTGGAGACTGTGGTAAGAAATGTTTTGTCTTAACTTACAAAATGAAATGAGAAGCCTTTGGAGAATTATAAGTATGGAAGAAACTTCATGTAGTTTACATTTCTAACAGTGACTCTGATTACCAAGAGGAGAAGGGATTCAAAGCAGGCAAGAATGGAAACCAGCAACCAGATTCCATGTGGACCACTCCAGTTCTTAGAGTGGTCCACATGGAATCTGAGCAGTTTTAGAGTACTGCTGTTTTAGAGAACAGAGAATGAAGAGAAGGAAATGAATTTTCCAGACACATTGTCAGAGGTAGAAGCAATAAGACTTGATGATGATTAAGTTGTGAGAAAGTAAAGGAGAAATAATAGTAAAGATGGCCCCCAGATTCCTGCGGTAGCCATAGGATGATACCAGTGACTCCCACTAGCAAGGTTTGAAGGGGGCTGGGTCAGGATGTACAAAGATCACTGCATAGGGAAAAGATTAGTATTTTTTATTAACTAAATGTAGTCTGGAAATAGATTAAAGAATATACCCTTTTGTCATGAAAGCAAGAAAACATTTATCATCTAATAAACATCTTTAAGATACCAATTCTTGTTAACCTGGTAGGGTAAGAATCATGTACAACCTAGTACTTTCTTTCAAGTGGCTCACAGATTTTCTTATCAGTCTTTGTGTATGGGGTGGTACTGGGGATTGAATCCTGGGATGCTCTACTACTGAGTTGCATCCCCAGCCCTTTTTTGGTTTTTATTTTGAGGAAAGATCTCACTAGGTTGCAGAGACCAGCCTTGAACTTGCAATTCTTTTGCCTTAGTCTTCTGTGTTGCTGAGATTATGGGCATAAGCCACCAGGTTAAACTAGTTTATCTTTTTTCCACTCTTCCCTGACCTGCAGCATCTCTCTTCTATACCTTTATACAGAATCCTGAGCTAAGGAAACATAAAGAGAAAGAAATCTGTCTCCATGGTGGACTTAAGTTCACCTATTATTCAAAAACAACTTTTTGATGGATGAGGAAAGGAAATTGTATCTAAGAAAAAATGTCATCTGTCTGAGCAAAAGTATACAAGGATGCTAACATTAGAACAGGACGAGTATACAGATATTACTAGGTTCATTGTGCTCTTTAGTAGTTTCTGGACCTAAGCAGTAAGGTTATGGACTGTGAAATGATCACTGTAGCTTCTGGTTTGGGGAAGATCAATCTTGGCCCTAGGGTTGCTAGCCTTTAACTTTTTTTTTTTTTTTTTTTAGTTGTACACAATTCCTTTTTGTTGTTTGTTTATTTTTATGTGGTGCTGAGGATCAAACCCAGGGCCTCACACGTGTTAGGCTAGTGCTCTACTTCGAGCCACACCCCAGCCCAGAGAGCCTGTAACTTTCTCAGATGTGCACTCATCCAATAGCATTGCATTGGCTTGGAGGGCAGCCTGAGAAATCTCCCTTGTGTTACATTCCTGACAAGATCTGGGACACTACTCACAAACACACTAAGGGTTATATAGCAAAAATCATAATTATTCACACTATAACTATATAATAAATGTAGTCTTTATAATAAAGCCTACAGTTAGCCACCAGTCAGTTCAGGTGAAGGTTTGCCATCACATGGTTTGCATCAGACTTAACAAAAAAACTTTTGATGTTTCACTGCTTTTGAATTTGTGGAATTGCCTGTAAAGATAGGATTTATAACACAGAGATATCCTTAGAAGGATTTAGTGAGGGTCCCACATCACTGTTGACAATATGCAAATTGCAGACTGGAGTTGGCCTTACATCCGGTCATTTTCTAATGCTTTAATCAAGCTCAACCTTTTTGTAATCCCTGTCCTAAATTATTTGTGGACATGGGAAGAAAGGTTATCTTGGGAATCTCAAAGGGGCATCTGCTATTTAGAGTACCTCCTACTGGTTTCAGGAATAGCCCAGCTTGTATAAAACATTTCCAGGACAACCAGCCCAGAGAGAGACAAGAAGATACAAGGGAATTCTGTTATTAATCTTAACAGGAAGCACAGGGTCTTCCACAGCCAAGCCCAGCAAGGCTTCCTGAGGTGCAGCCAGACTTCAACAGTGGTTTCTACAGTGACTTATCCCAGACTCCCCAAGGATTAAGATGCATCCTTTGGGGCTGGGGATGTGGCTCAAGCGGTAGCGCGCTCGCCTGGCATGCATGCGGCCGGGTTCGATCCTCAGCACCACATACCAACAAAGATGTTGTGTCCGCCGAAAACTAAAAAAATAAATAAATATTAAAAATTCTCTCTCTCTCTCTCTCTCTCTCTCTCTCTTAAAAAAAAAATTAAAAAAAAAAAAGATGCATCCATCTGTGGCAGGCTCACAGAGGAGCCTCTTGGAGTTTCCCAGAGGTCATGCAGAATTTGGATGTCTCTCATTCCCAGGAAATTCAGGGCCAAGCCCCTGTCCCATCCTCAGAATTGTCATCAAACTCTAGCATAGAGGCCAGGACCATGATTTCCAGGCCCAGGCCCCTTTTGCTATTAAAACAACCTGATTTATTTGTTTGTTTGTTTGTTTGCTTGCTTGCTTGCTTGCTTGCTTGCTTGCTTTTTAAGATTAACAGTAAGTAAATGTAACCTTCCTTTGAAAAATTCACAAAGCTTAAAAGTAAAATAAATACATATAAATGACAGAGGTGGGCTGAAGTTCTCTCTTACGTAAGTGGTCACCAGGAAATAGAAGGCACCTGGCATGCATGATGTTCTCCATGGAGTAAGCACCCACTTGTTCCCACAGATAGGATTTATTTTCTTTCTTACAAATGAAGAAAATTGAGACTCAGAAAAGGTAAAACAAGGGGCTAGGGTTGTGGCTCAGTGGTAGAGTGCTTACCTAGCACATGTGAGGCACTGGGTTCAAACCTAAGCAAGCACCACATAAAAATGAAATAAAGATATTATGTCCTCCTACAACTAAAAAATTAATATATAAAACAAGGTAAAACAACTCACTTGAGGTCATACAATTAGTGAAGAGAGCCATAAAATTCTCTAGCAGTTTGGATTTTCTATTTAGAATGACAAAAACAAGATTTTTTATATATTATAATTTTTGTTAAATTGAGCACTCAGCTAGGTATGGAATTGGAAGAAAAAAATTTAGAAATGCTTTCATTTAGGTTATACTCTGAGTAAATAAAAGATAAAACAAAAAACATCAAAAACTGAAGAGTACATTTCCAAAGAAGCAAATCACCAAATGAAAACCTGTGCCCTTGTAGTGACAGGGTGTCTAGGAGCTGGGTGAAAAGGAAAGCGTGTGAGGGAGAGTGAGTCAACAGTTCCCAGTCTGAGATGTGGTCTTGGATCATCAGGGAAGCTTTTAAAAGTTTAATTAGAAGTTCTACTCAGTTTAATTGATCTGGGACAGACCCAGACATGAATATTTTTAAAGTGCGATAATATAACCTACAGTTTACAATCAGTGTTGGTGGCCCCTGCAAGAAGTCAGTTACATCAAGAAATGTGAGCCTGTATCTCTGAAGTCCCCACCAAAGGGCTTAGGAGGGAAGCAGGAAAGGAGGAGGCCTGAGGGGAGTTGGCAAGGAGAGTGCACCAGGCAGGCTCTGTTCCATGGACTCTTCTGAAGTTTGGTGGTCATTAAATAACTGTTTTAAATGGTCACTCATTGGCAGTTTTAATGAATTTTTAATCTGAAAAGAGATGTTAAATCAGCAAAAAGCTCAGTCACAATCTATATCTTACATTTGCACTAAAACTTCAAGTCTTTTTTTGACCAATGGTTCTAATAGTGAAGCTCAGCAAGATTAAACATTTTTAAGCAAAAACTACAGAATACAGAGAATGTTAAGAGCTTTAGATATAACAATAATCCCCAAATTTCTAAAGATTGTTTTCTTGTCTTTCCTTCCTGTGAATGCAGTTTGTCTTCATTACATACCCCAACTCCAAGATCAAAATAGAGTATAATTTTGAAGAAACTCAACCTCATTTTGATATCTCAGACATCCTGCCCTACTTTTTATGTTTCTGTTTGGTTTGTTTTTTTTAAAAATGAGAGTTCTTGACAGGCGTGTTAGTGTATGCCTATATTCCCAGCAGCTTGGGAGGCTGAGGCAAGAGGAGCACAAGTTCAAAGCCAGCCTTATCAACTGAGGAAGGCCCTAAGCCTAAGCAACTTAGTGAGACCTTGTCTCAAAATAAAAGATAAAAAGGCCTGGAAATGTGGCCCAGTGGTTAAGTATCCCTAGGTTCAATCCCCAAAAAATAGTTTTCTACAAGTGCTATCCTATGTTAGATGACAGTCTTTGTCTAGGATAGTTCTCCCTGGTTTTCTTGTTCAGCATGTCTGTTCTGAGCCTGCTATGTACCACATCCTAGAAAGACCAAGGAGAGGCAAAGATGTCTCATCTGTTAAGAGAACAGGGAGCACAGGATTAATACTATTGATTGCATATATTCTATGGAAGAGAATTATGCAAGATGTCAAGGGAGTCCCAGAGGTTGGGAAAGATGAGGCAGCATCAAGTGGTTAGGGACCCGTAGGCTTCCATGGGAATTGTTATTGAGCTCATGGCATAACCTGGAGAATGCTACCTGTTCACCAGAAGTCCTCACTAGAGTGTGACAGGAACAACCATGCTAGATTGCTGTCCTTTGGGGTTGAGCTGCAGGCCAAGGTACCACTGTTGGACTTACTGGCCATCAAGGGAGGATGACTCAGGGGCTCTGGAAGGATGGCTTCTATAGTACCCTTTCAATTGCCCTTTTCTACATACGTAACGTTTTTCCGGAATGGTGTCCTACAGGGTCATCTGCACAGAATGGCAGCGCATTGAAGAGGGAATTCTCTGGAGGAAGCTACAATTCAAAGCGGCAGCCCATGCCTTCCCCGTCAGAGGGCTCTTTGTCTTCTGGAGGTATGGACCAAGGAAGCGATGCCCCAGCAAGGGATTATGACGGAGAGGTGAGTGGAGCATGAGTGTATGCTACACCTAGAGATGGGAGTTGGGGCCATTGTGTATCAAAGAACGAGTGCATGTACCCAATTAATCCTACCACTTTGAGCCTGGCCTTTGCTGCAGAAGGGGCCAGCATTCACTCCTAGCCACAGGCAGCAGAGCCCATCGCTTAAGCTGCAAACTACAGTTTTCCTAGATCTAGTCACTTCTAGTGACTTTTGAATGAAAATGCCTATATTTCTTTTTCGATATTCATGACAGTAGAGTGTATAACATTCTAATTAGGATCCCATTCTTGAGGTTGTTTGATGAGTTTCACTGGTGTTATTCATATATGAACATACGAAAGTTATGTCCTGTTCATTCCCACTGTCTTTTCTATTCCCCTCACCCTTGTTGTGTCTTAGCATTCACACATCAGACAGGACATTTGACCTTTGGTTTTTTGGGATTGGTTTATTTCAATTTAGCATGATAGTCTCCAGATCTATCCATTTACCTTTCTTTACTTTGATCCTTATAGGACTCTGATTCTCCAAGGCATTCCACAGCTTCCAACAGTTCCAACCTGAGCAGCCCCCCAAGCCCAGTTTCACCCCGAAAGACCAAGAGCCTCTCTCTGGAGAGCACCGACCGTGGGAGCTGGGACCCGTGAGCCCAGGGTGGCCCTCACCCCAGCACCCCCTATTGCCTCTTCCCTCACTTGCATCTCCTCCCTCCACCTCAGCCTGGAATCCACCAGGAGCTGGCAGCAGTAGCAGGGTAGGGACTCAGCAGTTCTGAAGACACACCTGGCAGATCATGCTCCCTTACCTAACAGCCACAACAGGCAGGCTTCGGCAAGCAGCTGAGGTCAATGTCGATTCATTCCGTACACTTAGAGTTGCTTTCAGTAACATTTCACCCCTTCCCAAAAGGTAGCTGCAGTAGACTACACAAATATAAGTGATAAGAGTAAGATTAGACAGATCTCGTTTTCACAATAGCTCCTCAATGTAGCCTCAGATAGTACATGGGATTCTGCACGCCGGAGGGACGGTGTCCTTGGAAAGGTTGCTGAGCAAGCCAGTGTCAGTCCAGTTGTTGCCAGGAAATCCTCACAGATTAAAACAATGCATATTTTACTACAATACAGAGTTTAAATAAATACATAAATGTAGAAGTTAAATACTGAATGTACATAGTCAAAAGAAGCATCTTGTATTCAATGAAAGATGGATGCATATATGAGAGAAAGAGATCATTTAATTTAAAGCAATGTGTTGTTTTTTGTCTGTTTCCCAGCTAAGTCAAGTACAGGGTAGAAAGGCCTCAAGCTGACATTTGTGGAGGGAGAGTGGGAGAAATCCCCATCCTTGTGGTGCCCTGTCCTCAAGACCAGTGACAGGCTGTGGCCACCTTGGGAGCTTCTAGGGAACATTTGGAGACTCTGGCTTTGTTGGTTTATAGTACAACCTGGGCACCAGTGTTTTAACATTTAAAGCCACTCAGTTTCAAAAAAAAAAAAACAACACTCACCTCTACCCCAAAACACTTCTTTTTCTAGCAATAGTGTGAACCACACTTTTCACTTCTTACTATATTTTGCTATCTGCTGCAGATGAATGTAGTAATATGATTTTGTTACCATGTGATTCCTTCCATTTGGAAGGGCACAGGAATTTCATGGGTTTTGAAAGTCCATAAAAAGTTCATAGAAGTGCTATGTTTTTGAGCAAATCCAGTTCCTCCTATAAGGGTATGGTGAGGTGGTCTGGCCCAGGTATGGAAATGGCTTTCGAAGGAGAAGACTTGTTGAGGGTGGGTAACAGAGTCCTGGGAAAAAAGACTTACAGATAATATGAAACCTCAAAAGCAAGGACTTGCTCAACCTCAACCAAATACTCTTTCTCCTGTGTAGGCAAGAATGAGTGAGGAAGTCAGTATGCAGGCAGGAAGCTGGCCCTGCAGGCCTTTCCACTGAATTCTCCCTCAGTTGCTATGTTATTTTGTTACATTTCTTTTTGAATTCCTGCTGTTGTACTTGCCACTAGGAAATGAAATGAAGAACCAGAAGAATTTAGTTCTACACAGTAATTTCACCACTTAAGTATATGAGTAGAGAAAGAGATAAAAATAAAAATAGCTCATGGAAGCAAAGAAAATCTGCCTCACTTTTACTTTTCACACAGGTTTCTGGGAGAAATAGAAACAATTTTCTCCTCCCTATAAAATTCAGCTAAAATGAAGAAAATTCTACAGTTGCCACTTGGGGGTGCCGTGGCCATCTCAGCACAGGTACCTGGCACTTTTCATCAGCAGAACCTGGGCCAATCTGCCACAGCTTGCTGCCCAGGCCGTGCTGTTTCTACGTGCACACTACTTTATGGAGAAAGGGCTACTGATATTAAATGAAAGAAGGGATCCTTTGGGGGGATTAGAGTGAAGTGCTTAAAACAATTGCTTTGATACTGAAACATTCTAAATTTGCTGCTGGCTCAGGTCTGATTATATTTTATTTTGAATGGGCATAAACTGCTTTAGTTCTACTCTTCCAAATATTTTTGCTTTTGGGAAAAGAAGTATCTCAAAAATGCTTCTGTTCATCTAATTATCAAGGGTCAGATCCCAAATGTGGTCATTGCCATTATGTACTATTCTGGTAGCTGCTTAAACTTGACACTTTGCATGAAAAGGAATCAACTAGCCAGCCAATTATGACCACCAGCTCCCCACCTCTTCTCACCCTCACTAAACAATTAGTTTGTAGCTTTGACAACTGATTGTGAGTTTTTGTTGCCTATATGTGCTTATTTTTCAAAGGATGCTTTTAGAATCAAAACCTACCTGAACTTTAGGTTCCACTACCATCAGTCCTACTACTACTTAGCCTCCCAGCAGGGAAAATGAGTGAGTGAGTGCCCCCAAAGACAAGCTCATCTCAGCTGCCATCTGATGGGCAGCTGATTCATGGTAACCAGTGGCTTGCACCACAGTGCTGTGAATTTCGCACTGTAATCATAAATTGTCTTGCACCATGAGAGAGGAGTCCCAAATATGCTTAGACTCAAAAGTCAGGACTTTGAATGGAGTGGTTCTTTGCCAGGGGAGTAGTAGTTTTGGGGAAGATTTTCACAAGATAATGATCATCCTGGTATGCTTATCCCACCCTTAAATATGAAGCTTCTAAGAAGAATGATCTGAAAAGACCAGAAACAGGCTCCAGGAAATCATTCAGAGGTATCCATTAACAAAGATCACAGGAAAGGTATTTTGTTGCTATCTGAAATCGTCCTTTTTTCATGCAGGACATCTTAGAAATGTGTATGGCAACAAATTAATTTCTCCATAGAAAACAATGCATTTAAAGGCATTTTTGCATAGTGTCTACATGTTGGTGTTTGGTGCTATCCATGTCCAGCCAGTGTGTTACTTATCCTTAAGTTCTGGCAAATCTTGTCCTGTGCTTTTTGGGTGTGCAAAATTTTACGTATACATATATATTTCTTTTGCCAAAAACAAAAGCCTTCCTCGTGAAATGATTGCTAAAGCAGATTTCACTTCTTTCATAATTAAAATACACACACACACGTATACCTATTACACCTACACTTAGCGACTTTCTTTCCCAGGGAGCACAACTTTAAGGCTGTGAGATACAACTAAAAAGGGACCATCTATTTGATTTTCCAGCCAATTCTTGTATCCAGGCTTCAGGGGAGAATATGAAATTCCTGTTTTGTTTACAGCAACAATCTCGTTCCCCACTGACTCTCAGCCTCCCTCTCCTTCCATATGATTAACATCATGTTATGTTATTTAGTGACCACATCTATTTCTAAGAAAGAGCAGTTGGTTCGTTTGGAATCTCAGGTATCATTAAGGAAATGCCAGAGTGGGGGTGGACAGATGACCCAACACCCAGGGCCATTTGCCAGCCTTGGCAGTGACCACATACTAGTCTCCCAATTCAGTGGGCCTGGCAGAGGCCACCACCCACTCCAGACAGAGAGACACTCGGAGCAGCCTGACGCTCCTGCTGTAAGTCACGCTTTGCTATAGCCCAAGTCCATTGGGCACAACAGGGAATTAATTGGGCACTTCCTTCCTCACCTCTCCCAAGCCCAGCCCCTGAATTAGATAAGCTTCATGGCATTTCATTGAAAGCCTCTTTCCTTGTTATGACCTTCATTGTTCCTCAAATCCAGAGTTCTTTGTTGAGTCCTGCTGGATAAGGAGGGCCCTGCTTCAGGGGAGCACTGTCTTCCACCAGCACCAGCAGCAGGCCAACAGCTTCTCTACCACCCCAAGGACGACCATTACACAAGAGGCCACCACTGCATTTGCAGATCGGACTGACCACCACGAATCAACCTTGATGTCTCGTGAAAGCAAAATGACCTGCCTTTTTATTTGATAGGATAATATCATTTATTTTATAAATTTTTAGGTTTTTTTCCTCATTGTAATATTATTGTACAGTTTTGCATGGCCTAGGTGTAATCATTTTTGTTTAGAATATAATGCTGACTGATATGTGTGTATGGAAGGGGAAAAGATATTGCTTTCACCTCTTATCACTTCTTTTGTTTGTTTTTATGCCCCCAATGTCTTAGGGAACTTTATAAGAGATTATCTGCTACCAAACAATGATGTGAGTTCTTTTGCACAGAAATATTTAAGGTGGGATAGTCAAAAATGTTAACAAAAGACTTCTCACGAATATTTTATGTTGGTATCACTTAATATTAACCAGACTTTGATGTACTGCAATAAAACAGGGAACTGTTACAATTGAAGTATTTATCTTTTTTTTTTTTTAACCCATTTTAAAGTCAGAGGAACAGAAAAAAGCTGCCTGATTCTTGATGTCTCACTTGCCCCTGCTTTCTGTTAGTCACTTGTCCATACTTCTTCCTTACACTCCAAGGACATGGGGTTACTTTGTCCCCATGGTTTAATCTGGAACTTTCTAAGTTGTCCTTTTATATCTGATAAGAATAATGTTCATTTCCCTTGAAACTTTCACCTCCCCTCTTCTAGTCAAAACTTCCTGGATATTGTTGCTTCCATCTACATCTGCAAAGCTAAGCTCCCCGCAGGTGGCTTGAGTGGTGGCCTTGATGGTATAAATGTGCCAGCAGCTCCATTTCATGTCTGCTTGCTGTAGAGAATCAGCAACCACAGAGGACAAGAGTGGGTGCTCATGCTTTGGGTAAGTTAGAACAGTTTAAGGACACACAGGAAAGGCTGGGGCTTGTCCTAAAAGAAAGCTGAAACTGGCCGCAACTAAACCATTACTCTTGAGAACCCTCCCTGTTTCCGTTTCCCGTGTAATTGACATGTTATTGATAAGTTGGCTTCTTATAATGTATGCTGTGCTTTAGGGGTTAGTAGACTTTCTGTAAAGGGACAGTCAATACTTTTGGCTTTGTGGGCTACGTATAGTCTTTGTTGCAGCAACTCTGCTAGTGTAGTTCGGAAATGACGCTATGATGAACAAAGTGTCTGAGTTCCAATAATCTTCAATGATGCAGTGGGCCATACTTGGCCCATGAATTGTAGTTTGCCAGACCTTGGTTTAGAGTGGACTTAACATGGGCTGTAAGACCAGACTGTCTTATTCCAAATCCTGGTTCCACCACTTGGTGCCTGATGTTCAGCAAGTCACTGAACCCAAATCTTAGTTTTTTCCTCTAAAATGTGTCAGGAGTTAGTACATGGACATACTTAGAATTTTGCCTATGGCTTAGTATTCTGGTGTTAACCACCACCAACAACAGTAACATACTTTTTGCGTTGTTACAGTGGGCAGCCCTTCACTGGATGTTAGGGATACAAAGAGTCTTTCAGTGTGAATGCAGGAACAGGGAGAATCATTTGGTGTCGATACTGAAAAAAATCACAATAGGTATAAAAGAAAAACAAGTGTGTGCCCAGGTGCAGAGCAGACATTGCTCAGGGATCAGGGTTATTATCTACAGTTTAGTGATTTTCACCGTCATCTTAACCAAGAATCTTATAGTTTTCAGCTGGCTCTCAGACTTGGGATGCAGAAAACTACTTCATTTCAAAACCCTTCTCTCCTGGGCTGGGTATGTGGCTCAAGCGGTATCGCGCTCGCCTGGCATGCGTGCGGTCCGGGTTCGATCCTCAGCACCACAGCCAAACAAACATATTGTGTCCGCTGAAAATTAAAATCAAAAAATTCTCTCTCACTCTCTTTAAAAAAAAAAAAAGAGAAAAAAGTCCCTTTTCTCCTGGCAGTTCTGCTTAGTTGTTCTTGGAGAAACAAATACTTGTAATTTTCCCCCTTCTTTCTCTGCACACTCTTGCATTATTTGTTCAGGTTATTGCAGTGAGGAGACTGTACCAAACTGGGACCAGCTGGGGATCTTCTTCTATGAACCCTGCATGGTGGTTGCCCCAAGTCTGTGGAGGTGCTGAAGAAAAACGTGTACCTTTTAAGAGGATGAGCACTCATGTGGGACTGGCTGGTGCCACTGGGTGCTGGTGATATTGGAAGGCCTTCTAGGGACCAGCCCAACCTCATTATCCTGTCCTGGAGCCCAGCATGTCCAGTATTTGTCAATCCCAAATTTCCTCCAGGAGAAGCCACTTTTCAGGAGTGTCCCTCAACTGTACCCATCTCTAAAGCAGGTTTTGCTGTGATTTGACCTGGCACCAGCCCTGTAGGTAGGTATGTATCTTTCCACAGCTGCCAGCATGGCAGTGCACAGTGGCTTCAGGGATGGTTGTGGGGGCGGGGCACCACCTCCCCTTAGCCCTGAATGTGGTGAGCCCTCCTGGTGCAGGTGCCCAGGGCCTTAGCTGGGAACAGGTGTGCAGGCCCAGAGGCACACTGATCTGAGCACCCTGGAAAGGGAAAGGATCACCATGGTGATGAAAGATGGGGGAACCCCCATCATTCCCCCCAGTTCTTAAAGCACAGAGAAAATGGTCCAGTCCTCAAAGACTTTTCACAAGCACTTCTTTTTAATTGAACTGAAATTTGATAACAAGATTTGTACAAAAAAAAACCAGCCTATGCTGACTGCTGACCCTTTTGGTGTGTGGGTGGCAGCAGTGCATCTCCTCTCAGGCCCTAGTGGGTACAGCAGGCCTCTCTCCCTCTGCTGCTCCTGGCTCTCCCCTTGTGGCAGCAGTTCTCTGGAAACATTCAGATGTCCCAACCAGAGCAGGCCCAGGTGACATGGCTACAGTCACCGGCACTGTTCGGAGTGGCATTTCTCCCAGCTCCAGACCACAGGCTGGAGTCAAAAACAGCAGAAACACAAATCTCATCTAGAAACACACACAAAATCCAAAAGTGCTTCTCTGCTTCCATTTTTCATTTTGTTTCAAGTGGCAGGGATTTGAAGGAAGTAAGAACCCCCTCTTTTCTGGTTAACATTCACTTTAGAAAAAGGGGAAAAAATAAAACTGCCTTTTTTCCTAGTTATTTCAGGGGCTGAATATATAACAGGCAGGTTCTGATGGAATAGTGGGGTCTCATTTTCCTTCCTGGACTTCTCCTCCACTCCTCCAGCAGTGGAAACCACTAGAGCACTGTGGGCTCTCCACCCTCCTCTCCCACTCAGAACCCACCCCACTCCCTCCCTCCAGGCAGAGGAGCGAGCAGAGCACCAGCACAGCCACATCTGCTGGCCACCTGCTGATGACAGAGCAGCTGGCTACTGCTGCTCGGCCTGCCTCCTGCAGTAGTTGCTGTAGGCCTCTTCAAACATGGCTTTGCAAGAGAACCGGGCCTTCAGCTTGGAGCAGATGAGGAAGGAGCCACCCATCTTCCTGTGCAGGGAGTAGGTCTCCTCAGGTGGGGGAACGAGGCGGTGCTTCAGCATGATGGGGATCAGATTGTGGATCTTCTCAGTGGTGCTCTGGGTGCCAAAATCAAAGGGCTCATCAGAGGCAAAGGCCTCTCCTAGGATGAGGATGGCATCCAAATGGGCATCTTCCATGGCCTGGGGGAAGACAAGAAAGGCAAACAGGAATAAACCTCAAGATCCCTCAGACCTGGGGGTCCTACCACAGTGCCCTAGCACGGAGTTCTTATCAAAGCTGTTAGCATTCAAGATTGAGGGTTCTGGTTGTTTTTAACTAGATTAACAGGCATAAACTCAAACCCACAGAGACTGGGAAACCATTAATGTCAACTGGGATTGAGGTGAGACCAAAGGGAGTAGTGGGGTCTGTGGCAGAAAAAGGAGTATACACCCTGACTAAAGGCATTTGAGTTCAAAGATTTTAGACAATCATTCTAACCAGAAAGAAGAGTCCACGGGCCTCAATAAGCCTGCCAGCAACAGCCCAGCACACAGCCAGAGGTCACCTGCCTAGTGCAGGCCTCTGCTCTCCCCCACACTGGGCACATGGGACGCTAACTAGTTGCCAGCAGGGCATAGGAGAGGGACAGCCCACAGACCACCCAAGGTGGGCAGGGCAAGCACCACAAATAAGAAAATGGGAGCTGCTGTCCACTGAGGGCTTTTGAGGTAAATAGCTCCACTTTTCAGAAAAAAGAAATAAGGGTCACCCACACTAACTTGCTGAAGTCACAGTCTTACTAGGCATGAATCCAAGAGCAGACTTGGATCTCTATCCCCTTTCCCAGCACTGAGGAAAGTGCTGCTCCCAGGGTGGCTTCTGGGTAAAGGAACGTATTTAAAGGGCCGGGGCCTCATCCCAGCTTCCCTCATAGAAACCTGCATTCCCACCTGAGTCACTGCCCTCAGTCTCTGAGTGCCTGCCCTGAGAAGTTCATGCAGAGCACAAGTCCTGAGTTTAAGACTGTGTCCAACAAGGCTCAGAGTTTGTGAAGACCCTGGAGGGCAGCTGTGCTCTATGTTTTCATCCCTTTATATACTAAGGTTCTGCTTCAAAGGAAAAAAATAGTCTATGTCCCCACCTAGATCCACCCCACAGGAAGCTGTGCCCACATGAGCAGGTTCCATGGAGCCCCCAGTAACACCACTCACCTTGACTTCATAGCCCGTGAGAAACTTCATCTCTATGGACTTCTGCTTCACAGCCTCCCTGTCCCTGTCAGCAGCAGCCCTAATGATCTGTGAAGAAGCACAGAAAGGATGCTCCTGAACTCCCAGGGAGCCAAATGCCCAAAACTGGACACCCCATGTTCATCCTGCTACTCTCCTTCCACAAAAGCCCTGGCCTTGAGGCCACAGCCTGTGCTACTGGCCTCAAGAGCCACACTGGGATCCCCATCATCCAAAATGGGAAGCAGAAGCCCAATCATTCCTTCTCCCTCCAAGGCCCCAACCTCTGGTCCTAGCCTCAGAAAAATATGGGGCAAGGCCAGGCCCCTCTCCCAACTTTACCTGAATATAGAGGTCAGTGAAGGATCTGTCATATTCCCGTGTTGCCCCGAAGTCCAGAAGAGCCACCTGTGGATGGAGACAGGAAGGTTTGCCTGGCTGGGGATGGGAGGAGGATCATCTCTGGAGACCCAGAGCCTCCTGCCCACTGATGATGTTCCCCAAGCAAGGGAAAGGCTGGGGCTCACCTTGTGCTGCTCAGGGTCATAAAAGAAGTTGGACCAGTTGGGGTCGGTCTGCATGAAGTGGAACTCGAACAGCTCCCTCAGACACAGGACCAGTATGTTGTAGCAGATCTGGAGACAGGGTGTGGGGCTTGCATCAAGTGGTACCAAACTGCCTGGTGACCTGTGAGTCTAGCCTGCGAAGTTCCTAACTCCCACCTTCTACCCCAAGATAATGGAACCACCCAGCAGGAGAGGTAGCTGCCCTCCTGTCACCCATCC